AGAAACTCAACTAGCTCAGATTTCTATAATAACTTGCAAATAAATTTTTCTTAATATTATAAAATTTTTCTTAATATTACGCAAATACGAATAAATTTGAGTTATGCTATGCACATTTTGTAAAAATTATCACCAATGACAATTAAAATCGACAATATTAAAATTGTTCATTATTAGAATTTTTATTCATCATCAATTTATATATCGTCAGTTCGGAATAACAATCGAATGTGAACATTTCTCGTCCCAATAACTATGTAAAATAATGAAACAATAACTGCGATAGTAAATAAATTTAAGAAAAATGATTTTGGGTGCGCCTAATCTAGATTGTTGTATCATAATGATATCTAAAATTCTTAATTTTTTAACTTAGGTTTTCTCAATTCAGAAGAACAGAATTGAACAGAATTAAAAACCTTATATCCACACAAAATATTTCGCACTACAAATGATTTAAAACTTGCAATAAATGCTATACACTTGTTGTTTAAATAACAACAGCACTTATATTAGCATAACAATTTCAAACTTAAAATATAATTAAACAAAAAAACAACACTAGCATAAAAATAATGCCAGTTAAAAATAAAAGCTAGTTTTTCACTTCTATTTTTATCAATAATTTTCTATAATCTATACGACTTGGTTATTTCCGCGAAAAAGTCATTTATCTACAACAAAAAAAAAAAAACTCTCAGGAGAGCAAAACAAATTTAAAAAAAAAAATATTGATGTAAAAATTGGGTTTTTTTAGACAATTCAATTTTTTTAAAAAAATTTTTGAAAAGAAAATAGCTTATTGGCTTATCTCTGTCTGTTTATCCGTCCGGCTCTCAATACTTTTATCCATTAAGAGAGAAAAATAAAATTTTATATATAAATAGATTTTCAGAAATTTTTTTTCGTAGCAGAAAATTTTCATTTATATTCTTCCTCTCTAAAAGTTGTAGCCCCTCAAAGTCCAAAAAAAAATGCCACATTTATTGACTATTTTTTAAATTCTACAAACGTAGAAAGATAGTGGCTACGGTTCCCTCTATCACGACATAACATATTTGCGCATAAAAATACCAAAATGGCCGTTAAAATTATCAGTTACCAAAAATCCCATTTTTGGTATCGTTTTTCTTCTAGATGTAGGAGTTGGAATTCTAAATAGTTTATTTCATTAGAAGAAAATTTCGCTTGTTTACTCTAATATGTATTTCATTGCATTCAACTTTGTCCTTATAAATGTATGTAGAATAATTTGCAATAATCATTGATTTTTTTGGAAATAATTACAACTTTTTCATTATAAGCACGTGTTGTTAATAATTACGAAGCTGATGCTGCATATTTTATTTCTATAATTAGAAGTTTTTCAATATAAACACGTTTTGTAAATAATTGCATGCTGTATATTTAGTTAAGAGCGAACTGCTTTAAGCTAGTTCATTTCTACACCATAGTGCATGTTCATAATTCTATTTATTACGCTAGTTGGAATTATACAAATAATGTAAGGTCCCTCTTATGTATCTTCCTCTCTCTTATATAAGCTCTTTTATGTATTTCATCCACAAGTTTTTTATATAAACATACATATTTTAGGAAGGTCGCACGTAGACAGTCTCTAAAAATCATGGGACATTCAAAGTTCATTTTATTTATTCCACTGACTTATAATGTTTCTGGATGTTAAAGAAAGCTAGATCAACCTCAACTCTTTAGGAAACTACTTTTAAAATTTGCGCATTGCACCATTCTGAGTTTCGCATTGAAAGGTGAAAAGTATAATAGTTTTGAAATTAAATTTCATAATGTTTCAAGTAGCAGTATAGGCAGTATATTTTGATTTCTCTCTTGAAAAATTTAAAGTGAGTGTCGTAAAGTTTTATTTTTCATTAAAGGAAAATTTTGCTTTCTCAATTTCTTAAGTTTAAATTTTTCTAATAAATTTTCTTTAGAATAATGCGTTTTTTCAGAACGTGTCCACCGCATAAAATGAGACCTTACAGTATACAATGTTTAGTTACATCATATTTAAGATCCATTAAGAGGTGATTCTAAAATTTTGAAGTTGATTTGGAGATCTGATTATAAGCATACTATTCTTTAAAATGTTGAGATTATCTTGGAATTTCACAATAAGATTTACGGTTTTATTTTTATTAAAAGTGATTTTGAATTTTCTATAAAGTTAGAAAAAAATTTTATAGAACATACCCTCATGGTATCAGGTTACAAATAATAATCTGAATGTCTGGTTTCTGTTTTGTTCCGCGTATTCATAAGGAAATAAAAGTGCCTCTTTAAAATTTTTTGCTAAATCGTTGAAATACTTGTTCAGAAACTCACATGCCTCATTTGATAACAGTAAGAGTATATAAGAGTCATAATTTATAACCAAATACGCGTATTTAATTCCTCTTAAAAAGGCCATAAATTCTAGAGATGGCAATTTTGCAACTAAATTGAAAAAATTCATTTTAAAATTAAACCATTTGTAATTATGTTTTTTTTTTTTGTGTTTAATCATGGCAGATTGTGCGTCTTACATTTAATATACATTCGAACTATGTAAAAAGTTGTTAAATTTCTTATTTCTTATATCTTAAAGAAACGTAGTCCTAAAATAGTGTTAAATATAAACCTTCGCTTGCCAGAAATAAATAAAATTTGTATATATAATTCTCAGAACATGTCTTGCCAGATAAAACATTAAGAAAAATTAAGTTTATTCGCAATACCAACTGTACCTTCCCGAATTCCGATAATATACAGGTGTTCAAAAAATTCGTGAATATAAAAAAATTTCAAATTTCTTTATGTTAATAAATGCGATTGATTATATGCTGAACCCACATTAGTTTTATCTTCATAAACAGGAAGTTATGCACTTGTTTAAAATAATACACTTGTTTATAACAGGAAGTTGTAAACAAGTGCATTATTTTAAAACAAATATGGAATTTCAAAAACAATCCCACAATTGTTCGCTTCAAATAATTATCAAAAGAATTCTAATTTAAATAAAATTTAGATGTTTTTCTAATATAACTAATTACACGAGTTTGATAGTGGAAACAACTTGTAATACTAATATTTAAAAATTTGAATTGAGCACACAAAAAAATTTATATTTGGGGTGATGCTGGCTACTAATTCTTGAAAAAGGAAATAATCTGTTTTAAGCATAGATCTTTCTAAATTTCACAAATTCTAACATAACTAACTTGTACCTAAATAATATTCTTATTTCAAATATTTAAGCAATACAACACACTCTATGAGAAATTATAATTTAACAGTAAATTCTAAATCATGTAAAACTTTCAGTTCAGACTTTGCGACATGTGTAATCTGCAGTAAAATTTCTATATTTTCAATAGCATATTGTACGAATACGAAGCGTTATTAAAAATTCAATGAGAAACGAAAGAAAACTATGAGCAAATGAAAAAAACTATTAATGAATTCGGGTCCGACTGAATATATTTTGTAAAGCAGCACAATTTCGTTGTATATGGCAAAATGATTCTTTTAATAAGCAATCTTCTAAGTAAATTAATCCCATTAATTTACCAAAATTATATTATACAATAAAGAATTTTTGCATACTTTCAGGTGTCAGCAAATATTAAAAGAAACCTTAGCTTAATGTTCAAATTTGGCTTCTTAATTAAAATTAGTAAACTTAGTTATTGTAATTTAAAATTAGTAGAAACATAAAGAATTTTGAATTTCTTCCTATTTTGAAAGGAAATAAACAATTTTGTTCACTTCTAAAAAAACTGTTGAGGTCTTAAACTTACATTTCAAAAAATTTGTATATAAAATTTCGTAAGTATAACACTATGTATTATAAAACTTCAACTCTTTAGAACTCTTTGAAAGAGTGTAAAAGTTTTGTAAGAAACCGCACTTGTAAAAGGACCCACCAAAAATTTTGTCCAATTCATGATTAGAAAACAAGATTTTTACTATATCATCCTCCTCTAAAAATTATAGCCGCCCCTAAAGTCTTAAAATATCTTTTTCTGACTATTTATTGACAGAACGACATACTTGCTATACCTCATAAAAGTACAGTTAGGCATTGTAGTGGCAAAAATCATTCTAAAACTTTTCTTTTTCAAATTTTTGATCTTTCCCTTTTATTCTTGATACTAAGCTATTAGAAGTCTGAAATTTTAGCAGTTTTTAGTAATTATTAAATAATTTTGACGCTTTGTTTTCCTGAAAATGTAATCTTTTGTGAATTTCTGTAGAAACAAAAAGCCAATCGTAAATGCCGTACAATCCCCACGAACAATTTTTTTCATAAAATTGTCCCACTTTTCTGCCTCCCCCCCCCCCCCCCAGAGATTATACCACATTACAGGTATAATCCTCTATATTGATACCAGGGAATTGCCATAATTTCGAAATTAATGTATAAGTATACTTTTAATTAGTAATTTTTTAAAATATTCATAAAATTTCTATTTACATAATTCATAATTATAATAAAAAGGAAAAGTAATTATGAAGGAATCGCAAGTATTTACTTAATTTAATCCTATAATTTTTGAAAATTATATTTTCATTCGAGAAAAACTGTTCAAGGATCTTTTTATAAGCTAATTACAATAAAAATCTAATTTATAAATAAAAATCTTTCTATTCATTAAAATAATAAAACAAAACATCTTTATCACATATTTATATATACATTATATACTTATAAATAAAAAACATAATATATAAACATATATATTTTTATATATTATGTTATATACATCGTTAGACCAATACAAAAATAATGTGCGATTATGTGACAATCTACTAATTGTTTATCATATTTTAAATTAAAAATATTTATTTAAATAAATAATAAAAAAAAAAATATATCTACATATATACGTTATATGTATAACATTATAATTTTAAATTTTCATATATATATATATATTTTTTTTTTTAAAGTATAAAAGCGAAATTAATATTAAAATTTAGAATTAGTAATAAAAATTTAATAGTTCGACCAAGATGTGAATTTGTATAATAATATTAAATAATTTTTCTTGATTTTTTGTTATACATATATATGTATATATACCTTATATTTGTTATACCATTAAAACAACGTTATATATATATTAAAGCACATATACACAAGAAAGAATAATTTTCAATGTTTAATAAAATTTTATTAGAGTGAAAGTGATCATATGATTTGAAGAAAAAAAAATTTTCCTTTAAATTTTTTATAAATTTCAAATAATATTCTTTTAAAAGTAAGTTCAAATAAAATGGAATATTGTTTAATTAATAATTAAATGTTATTGAAATTAATATATTATATAATATATATATATATATAGTGCAAATATGACCAAATAATTTTATTGAAAAAAATTACAATAATTAAAATACTTTTACTAAAATAAGACACACTGCACAATGATAGTGTTCTATAGGAAAATAAATATAAAAATAATAAAATTTTTTTTTTAAATTAATTTGCATCGAGTTTTTGTCATATTAGAATTTGCAAGTCGGGAAAACTCTATTAATATTATAGAGAAAAAATTTAAAGAAACACTGAGAAAAATTTTATGCAAATTAGATATCTTTTTTTTTAAAGATAAAAGACACCATAACCACATTTTATACTAATTTCCATTTATTATGTACTTCCTACCCCTTTATTTTTATATTGAATGTAATTCAAAACAATTTTAGAAATATACTACTATCAAATTAGTTATACTTTTGAGCCGTTTATGAAAATAAATTATCTAGTTAGAATAAAAAAAAAATTTTCAATGAGCTACAATAATTTCGTATATATTTTTAATTTAAAATTTAAAATATTTTTCGAAGAATTGAGAAATATTTAACGTGCAGCACACTTACAAATATATTCTCTTCTCTTTGTTAATGTTTTTATTTTAATACGAATAAACTTGTATCCATCAAATGCCGGTAAACTTATGCCCATTACTCAGCTAGATTTTATTTTGAAAAACAAAAAAGGACTATTACAAAACGAGCTATTTATGCAAAAATTTTGTTTGTTGCAAAATTTTTATATTACAATTGGATTATCAACGAAATTGTTATACAACGTATTATATATCTTGTAGTTTTATTTTACCCACAATTGAAATAATTTTGGGGCGCTAAAATAAAAATTATTTCTATACTTTATGTAAAAATATTACGAGTTATCAAATATTTTTTTTTTTCACACAGCAAGAATTTTTCGAAATAGTTCATGACCACTTTAGTAGATATGAGTTTTTTTTTCAGTGAAATTTAATTTTTTGAGCAATGCTTACTAAAATTATATTCTTAAATGGCACAATAGTACTGCTTTTTCGAATTAAGTTTTTATTTTATTTTTTTTGCCAGTGTATATATGAAAATTAAAAAAGGGAAGTTTCGAAAATTTTTTTTAATTTGAAACTTGTTGGTGGAAATATAATACTTGCAGTTCTTCATTTTTAAAAGAATTGCACACTGCAATCTAAGTACATAATTATAGAAGTCAGTTTTCAGAAGAACCCTACATTTATTCTCATTGTCCTTTAGCTTAAGAAATTATTGTTTTAAATTTTCATTAGAATAAAATCTAAATATGTTCTTGACTAATTTGCAAATACTGCTTATATAAATTTGCATTTACTTATGACCTTTTATTTTCATAAATAAGGAAATCATAAAATATGAAAAATGGAACAAATTTCCATAAGAAAAAAGGAACGATTATCATAATTAATTCACTTAAACGTCCAAATGAGTTGAAATTTTTATCTTTAAAACAAAAATATCATTCAAATTTTACTCACACAATAGATTTGAATAACTAAGCTAGCTTAATACAAAATATTAATATATTAAATCATCGCCTAAATATATGCAAAAAAAATCAAAATTAGGAATATATTATTAGAAAAAATTGTGCATATTTTTATTATGTATTTATGTATGTATATACCTATATATAATATATATGTAGATGGCTGCAGCTTTAAAACTCTCAATAATCGTTATTTTAATCCATTTTAAAATTAGAAAATCACAAATAAACTCGCCACTCCAACTTGTTCCTTAATACATTCTGAAAAGATGAAAAGAATTTCAAATTAATATCAGATTATTTTCTATAATATGCACGAGAAATAATGTAATTATAATTTTTGCACAAGAAATCCTGATGTAATTTTTAAAAGAGTAACACTGGTTTCAATAAACTTTGTTTAACTAATAGGAAAAAAATATGCTGTGCGATCTGTTAAACACATCAGTAAAACACATTGCAGTTCCTTTCATAATTAACTACTTCAATACTTAGTAAACCTATTTTACGAAAATAAAATAATAAAGCTAATATAAAATGTTGAAGCATGAACAAAAACAGCTGTGAACACTGTTATATTTAAATCATTACTTGTTGTAGAATTTTCATATGTTTATAAAATTTTCCAATTCATCTCAAATAGAGTTTTCATTTTAGCTATAATTTAAAATTGCATATTACAAAATTTCTTTAAATTTTAGTTGATTTAAAAAATCAAATTGAAAAATGGCAATTGTTGATAGTACAGAAAGAAGATCATCTAAACCAAGAAAAAAGGGACTAGCAACATTTGAAACAGCATTATGTGAAACAAGTATAAGAATTAAATATTAATCTTTTATATAAATTCATATTTAACCATTTTTTTTTTCTTTATTGCCTTGCAGAATTCGGAAAATTTAATTATATTTTAATATTTTTATCTGGTGTCATATTAGCTAATGTTCTATTAGAAACTTTAGGAATTAGTTTTGTTTTACCAGTGGCACAATGTGATTTAAAATTAACAACACAAAAGAAAGGAATTTTACATTCAATTGGCTTTGCTGGTATTATAACAAGTTCACATCTTTGGGGTTTTCTAGCAGATACAAAGGGTCGACGTAAAGTTATTTTACCAACTCTAGTTTCTGGTTTTATAGCATCATTTTTATCGAGTTTTTCAAATGAATTTTGGTCAATGGTTATATTCAGATATATTAATGGATTTTTGTAAGCAAAATTATTTAATTTTTCATTAATTCTATAATTAATATAAAAAAATTATAATATATAAATGTAGTGTATCCGGAGGTTCAGCAACAATATATGCATATTTAGGTGAATTTCATACAGCTAAAACAAGAAGTCGTGCTATTATGGGTGCTTCAGTTATATTTGGTATGGGTGCTATGGTATTACCATTATTAGCAATGGCAATTCTTAATTATGAATGGAGTTTTCATATTGATTTACTTGGTATTGATTATAAACCATGGAGATTATTAATTGTTGTATTAGGTTTACCTGGTTTATTAAGTGCATTATGTTTATATCAATTACCTGAAAGTCCAAAATTTGTATTATCAATTGGTAAAGAAGAAGAATCATTAAATATATTAAAAAATATTTTCGCAATTAATACTGGAAAAGATAAAGATGAATTTAGTGTAAGTTAAAAAAAAAGATTTTTATTTAAATTATATTTTATAAACATTCATAATAAACAATTATATATACCAATATACAGATAATAACAATAGCACCTGACTTAGAAAGTACAATACAACGTCAAAATATTCCAAATCTTAAATCAAATCCATTAACATTTGTTTGTAAATCAATGTGGAATCAAACAGTACCATTATTTTCAAAAGAATTTGTTAGAAAAACAATTTTAGCATGTACAATACAATTTTCAATATTTTTTACATCAAATGGTATGTACATGTGGTTTCCATTCATATTAAATACAATGATGGAATATTCAAAAAATCATCCTGGACAATCAGTAAAAATGTGTGATGTTGTTCATGAAAAATTATTAAAATTACCAATTGGAGAAACATTGGAAGTAAGTTTGAAAATTATTTTAAAAATATTTAATGAAATTTACATTTTAATTAATTGTTAATAAATTACAATCAGACAATCATATAAAATTTATAAAATAACGCAAATCAAGAGCGTAACAATCCCTAGACTAATTTACATTACATAAATGCGTAATTCGCCACAAAAAGTAGAACCCAAGCAGCATTAAACAGTGCTGATAGCTAGAAATTTTTTACTAGATTGTCTTCTTCACATTTCAATTGAATGAGATTTGAAAATCATATTAGTATACTACTGAACTAAATTAAGCTATACAACTTTTAGCACCTCATTTTTAAAAATATTTACGAGTACTTTAATATTATGATAACTTAATTAAATTTTTATTTCTGTATAGGATGATAGCGAACTTACTTGCAGTGGGAAACTTGAAATCGATACATTTTTACATTCGCTTACTTTAGAAGTTATGTATTCTGTAGGTTTTGCAATTATTGGATTTATAATTAATACAATTGGAAAACTTCCAATACTTTGTAAGTAATACTTTTAATATATAATTGCATTAAATTCGAATATAAATGCACAAAAACAAAATTTAAATTAATATTAATTTAAAATTTAAAAATATTTCAAAAGTTTTCATAATGACTGGATGCGGTTTATGTGGTATAGCAAGCATATATGTAACAACACCAATTATAGCCGTATATCTTTATATTGTATTATTAGTATGTGGTTTAGCAATAGCAGTTGTTAATGCTGCTACTGTTGATTTATACCCCACACATTTAAGGTATGTCATATAATTTTTTACTTATCTCTTTAAACAATTTAAATTTCTATTCTTAAAATTTTATAGAGCTATGGCAATATGTATTTCATTAATGTTTGGACGTCTTGGTAGTGCTGTAGGTGCTAATGTTGTTGGATCAATTTTAGATTATAGCTGTGAAGGAACATTTTATGTTTCTGGATTAACATTAATTTTAGGGGGATTTTTAGGTTTTCTTATACCAAAACCACCAGAAAATATGGAATTAAGATCAAGAGAAAGTAGTCTTGTATCAATGACGGGAAATTCTCCACCTTAATGTTAATTAATATAACGTATATAATATGGATTAATATTTATAATATATATTCATTTCAAGTCTGCTTAAAAATTCACATAAATAGTCTGCATAAATACAGTAAGGTATTACTAATTTTATAATCACATACATATAATTTATATATAATATAAAAAGATTTTCCTGTTCTCAATTAATCATATAAAGTGCATATATTATAAAATTATATGATGGAAAAAACAATCAAACTATAAAAGTCTGACTGATATCGACATTATGAATATTTTTTTTATATAAATTTTAATTTAAGAAAAGTCTGTAATTTATTATGATTGTATATAAATAGTTAATTAAGAAGCTGAAAATATAAAAAATCTGAACCATTATCATATAAAAATAGAAACCAAAATAAATAAAAACTTGAGAGTTTTAAATCGATATACAAATAATGTTCTACTCATATAATAGTTTTTCCATAACAAGAACCATTTGAAAGAAACTTGATTATAACAAAATATGGTATGGAAAGAATATTATAGTTTTGAGAATATTTTATAAATAAAATTAACCTTTTTTTGTTATCATTTGTTTTCAAGCAACTAATATAGTTTCTCCTCTTATTCAGCACAAGTTTGGCGAAAATTTTCTTTTGCATAAGTTTTTAACTATTTCTAAGAATTCAATTGTTTACATTTAAGGAGTAAAAAGGAAAAACGTATCGGAACATATATGTATGTTTTTGATCAGCGTCGAATTCTAAGTTGATTTAGCCATGTTTGCTTGTCTGTCCGTTTGTTTGTCTGTCCATCTGTCCGACCCCATGACAACTCAAAAATAAGTTGAGCTAAGCACACCAAATTTTCAGATATGATTTATAGTAGTAAATGCCGGAACCCTGTTTAAATTAAATGTGATCGAGACAGTGCTTCGAATAGCTGTTCTACAACTTTCAAAGTTATTTGCCATTTGGCTATATTTCAAAATATTTATTGAAATTGATATAATCAACTCTATTATTTTTTCTCGTTTAAGTATATGTATATTTTTTTTTTTTCCTTCTTCACTCCTTTTAAGGAGTATAGAGCTAATGCATGATATCTATCATGTTCTAGTTTCTATAATCATAGAGTTAGCTAGGTAGGTGACTAGCCTACCGTAGAGAAACTTCAATAGAAAGAAAATAAAATTCATAAGAGTTAAAGTACATTTATAACTGCAAAAGAAATCGCTAAAAATGATGTCTCTAATGGACAAAAAAAAATCAAAAATGTTAATATTAAAGAACAAAAACTCGTTTAACAATGAAAAGGATTAGGACAATGAAAAGTTGGAATACCGTTACCCCAAGGTGAAATTTGTAAAACCCAAAATGTCAATGTGACTATCAACGAAATTTGACAGTAAATAGCTAGTCGTTATTTTAATGATAACAAATCATGCAAAAGAAATGATAATCTGTAACAAGTACACTTATTTTATCTTACTATACCCTTAATACACATAGTTCCACACAGGCAACTGATTGTTACCCTTAATGCCCATAGTTTCCAACAGGCAACTGATTATTATCCTTAATACCCATAGTGTCCATAGGTAACTAATTATTACCCTTAATACCCATAGTTTCCCACAGGCAACTGATTTTATCTGACTAACCCTTATCAATTCCAAATATACGTTTTAAAAATTTTAAAATATAGACTAAACTTGTTCTCTTTGAATATTAAATACTAGCAACTGAATTTCGGTTATTTTTGGAGAATGGAGAACACATGTACATAATTTGAAGGACATTCTTTTCACTTGATATTTACATTATACGAATATAGGATACATATTTAATGATTTTATTCTCTCCGTTCAAATAAAATAGAATAGTTCAGAGTGTACATGACGTGACAGTGCATATTTTCCAAAGTAACGCCAGCAGAAGTAAAATATATTCAATTACTTCTTTCATTTTATTATTAACAAAACATTTTATTTCTTTATTCTTATTGAAATTTGAAAAAACTTCAGAATTTCAAAAAAAAATATATTCCAATTTGCTAAAATTTTAAAAAGTGTTTGTTTTAAGAAAAGGCAAAAACTATGTATAGCGTAAAAATTTGGGTAGTCTAATTCTCTCGGAAAATTTTTATGTCATCCTAGAAGAATTGGAAATTATTTTGACTATTAAAAATAAAATATGATAACTTGTCAGCAAAACTAAAAAGTTATCAGCAAAAAACTTAGAAGTTATCAGTAAAACAACTCGGGTAAGTAGAAATTTCATAGTAATTGCTTAAAATACCTATATCTTGGAAATACTTTACATTTGGGATCCACTCTTGAACAAAAATTGCACCCATTTTCGATCCTCTAAGCCATGGTATATATTATTGTATAAATTTCTGAATTATCCTGTATATATATATATATAGTTATGTTAATGCCTTCTTTTACCCTCTTTTAAACTGTAGTTCTTATGCATATTTATAATATTGCATTTGAGGAACGTAAAAAAAAATCTGATGTGGTCAGCACATAACCGACCGCATTGTGTATTGCCTAGTTAATTGAAAGTGTTACGGAATATTATAAAAATGTCTGTTAAATACTTCTTTCCAATTTTTAGGGCATTAGTAAGCTTATAGTTAACATACCTAGAAAAATGTAAATTTGGCTGTAAGTACTTAGGCCGTTAGACCGAATTCCCTGAAATGCTCGCCAATTAGTTTCTGTAACAACCAGAACTCACATATCAAATTTCAAAAAATTCCATCAATTCGTTCCGCTGATATGGTGAAAAATGTAAAAGCGGATCAGTTTTCGAGCCCTGATCTTTCCAAAAAATTTATAGATTAATTCTTTTAACACCTCGAATTCAAATATTAAATTTCAATGAAATCGGTTGATTATTTCTCTTTATATACACAAAAATGTATATTTGGCCCGTAGTTAACCTCTAACTGACCGACAGACCGACAGATCGACAGACCGTCAAACCGACAAACCGACAGACCGACAGACCGGCAAACCGACAAGTTGATAAAAATAGTTTATTTACACTTCCCTACTATGGAGAAGTGCATTCCCACCGAAAATTCAATATGCAAAATTTGTTGCCATCACATAAGCTACCTATATTGTATACACAATACGGTCGGTAAAAAAGAAAATCGAAGAAGCGCAAATATTCAGAAATCGAAACTAAATGTAATTTTCTTTGGCGCAGTGTGCATTTGCCTATGTTCAATTTTTCCGACTTTATTAATTCTTTTTAAATCCAAAATCATATATGTACATAAACAGATGTGTCTTAAATTAACCTAGTTGTTTTCTTATATAAATTCTAAAAGTGTACCATTAATTATTATGATTGTTATATGAAAAAATCCACTAATGTTTTTTTAACCAGAAATAAAACTTTAATATCATAAAGGCACAGACCTAGCAAAAAGAAACAATATATATGTAAATAATTATATTACTTTATTTATAACATAATCTATTTATTTATTATGAATTATTTTGTTAAGAATTAAAGTTACTTACGTATTTGAAGATTGCCTAAGATTTTAACGGTAGTAGATAATTTTTTTTCCTTTTTTTTTTGTAAAAAGTAATACAGTAATCCCTTCTATAACGTATATTTTTCTACGTTAAATTACGTTAAAAAGAGGTTTGGAAAAAAAACAGAAGTACCATGTACCATATTACATTTTACCAGGTTTATTAAGGTGTTTTATGGTTATAAAATTAGTTTGACTAGCAAGAAATCGTATGAAACGTATTTATATTACAATAATATTTGCCGATACATTAGCATTTTAAGATAAAAAATAATCCTCTAGCAGTGGGTAAAGTACTGACTATGGACAACATGCGGCCTATTCAACTTTAAAATGTAGCCTATCATTCTGCTCGCAAGAACAAAATTATATTTGATTGCGATTGTTAAAATTTTTCAAAAAAATTTTAGGAAATCAATCATAGATACTAGATATAGGTCTATTCTCTTCAAATTTATTATTTGTTAACACAAAACAATCAATAAAATCAGGTGGGCAAAAACTCGAATGACTCTGGTATTCTTTGATACAATTCCAAATATTGATTACAACATTTTGGGATCTTTCTGAAACATAGTTTCATATTTTTGAAATATTTCAACCTTTGAAGTAATTTAACTAAATGATTCTCCTAACTTCAATAATTTTATTTTCTTGAAAAAACACAGTCATGCACGTTGAACGTCGTAAAAAAAACGTTTAGTTAATGAGGAAACGGTAGTAATGGTAAACGTTATAAAAGGGGTTACATTTATAAAAAAAAAACATTTTGTATTTATGTACAAGACTGTAATCTTTACAAATATAGAAAAGAGAAGAAAAACAATAGAAAATAAAAAACATTATAAAAATGTCATCAATTTATTCTTAATTACTATAAAATATTTTTATCATTCAGTTTTTATTAAAATGTGTTCTCAAAATTCTCTTTGAAGCGTAAACTATTAAATTTAAATTTATACATATATACATACATATATTTTCTTAATTTATCTGTTATTCAAATATTTCATTAAGTATATTCAGTTTTAATTTATTCTTCACTGAAGAACAATCACTGGAAATATAAAAAGTTTTGTCAGGTTTAATGTAAAAATTGTTTTTGTTTTCATATTGATTAATAAGAAATTTATAAAATATAATTATTTAACCAAAAAAAAATTATTAGAATAAAGTAAAAATTATGATAACCATATATGTATATACAAGCATATACCCACTATTTTTCGTAATATCAAAAACTTAACAAATACAACAGAAAACAAGAGAGATTTTCATATACGCAAAACATAACTATACGAAGTGCAATACTGCAAAAACATAATGTGATGAATATGCAATATATTTTTGACTATTTTATAAAATTAAAACAGTTTATATGATTTAACTGCCCTACTTCTACTAATTTCGGTACAAAGTAAAAATTTAGCAATGTTTATAAACAGGTTAGGTTTGGACCATTTGCTTGTAAACATAAATATAGCACAATTTTCACTATATCGTGATATACTGCATTTATACATATATGACAAATTTCAGACGTTTTCTAAAATATGTATTTGAAACATTAAACATTTTTTCGTAACATTATGTTTTATTATTAAAAAAATTTTATAAAAATATAATATAATGTAAATAAGAGAAAAATTTCTAAAAAAGAAAAAATTTTAAGAAAATAAATTTTACCAATAATTTATTTGAAAGTTTATTCAATTTTAGATTTAAATTTATTTTAAAATTAATCAATACCCAAAGATTAGTTTTAACCGTAATTTTCTATCTGCAACAGAAAATTAATTTTGCATATGGTTAAAAACAATAAATAATGTTGGGTTAAACCAATGGTTTGTATTGTAGCACTTTTCCCTTCCACAAGTGAAAATACTGCATTTAAAAACAATCTATGTATATCCACCACTCTATTAAAATTATTTTCATTCATAAACGAAACTATTTCAAGGATTGCATATATTTAGGATGAACCATTTATGCAGTCTTTAAAATAAAGCAAAAATTAATATAAAGAGGGATTAAGATAAAGAGATTAATATAACATAATGCTCAATTTTAAGGGTTAGTTGCGTGAGTTAAGAAAAATAATTATATTTTTTAATGTCATGGAATTTACCGTTAGCTTTTTGCGTTTATAGAAATCTGAAAAAGCTTGCGGTTTCGGAAATATAAGGTGTCAAAAATTCAAATTTTATAAATTTCAAGAGGCGATAACTTGAGAGGGGGTGGAGATGGAAAAAAATTTTCTTCTAACGAAATGAAGCATTTATTAGTATCTAAAAGCCCCTAAAATTTCAAGCTTCTACAGGCTGAGGTCTAGAAGAAAAATGACATCAAAAATTTGGAAAAAAAGGACTTTAGATAACGGTAAATTTGAACGGCCATTTTGTTTTTCTAAAGTTTAACTATAGTATACCACGCTAGGGGAAGCAAGCCACTGCCTTTCTGCGTTCGCAAAATTTCAAAAATGCTTATGGTTTCATTGCAACAAATAGTTAAAGTAAGCCATTTTTAGTGTTTTGGGTGGGGGGGGGGGGGGGGGGGGTGTAACTTCTAAAGGGGGGAGATAGGTAAAAATTTTGTTCCACGAAAATAAGTTTCTAGTAAAGATCTATGTACGTATTAAATTTCGGCTTCCTATCTTTAAGAATGTAGAAGTTTTGCAAACAGACACACGGACAGACGGACGGAAATAAGCACTTTTTTCAATTTTTTGGAAAAGTGCTATAAACTACACTAATCTATAAGAAATAAATAGCCAATAAGCTCAATTGTTTATGTTCCGTTTTTACTCGCCGGGTGAGAGGAAAATTAGTGAGTATCACTTATTTGTATGCGTAATATAATTTTCAAGTTAGAAGAGTGTTTATTGTTTTTTTTTTCTCAAAAAATATACTAAATTCCGTTAACATTTAAGCATTTTATTCTTTTTAAATTTGTCTCTTTGTTCGGCCAAGCTAAATAATATTTTTATTGTTTATATATTCCAGGAACGAATCTTCATTTATGTTCAAATTTTAAAACAAAGTATGACCATTCCGGTGAAGCAAATTAATGATGCTGAATTACCTACTCAAACTTCATCGTCAATTAATTTTGAAGATGTCTTAGCAGAGACAAGTAAGATCTTTTTATAAAGTATATAATTTTTTTACTAATCGACTTTACAGTTACAAATTTAACACATATACATACATACATACGTAATTTCTTTTATTTTCATGATAATATGTGTGTCGGCTTAAAGGTAAAACTCATTAATTACAATTTTTACAAAAATTCAGTTGAACGTCCTGATTAGACATTATTTTTTGTATACATATATCGTTTAGAAAATTCATTAAACCTTCTTAGAATTCCTTAAATCAGGTTCCTTGAAGCTATTTGGAAAATGTTATACTTAATAAGTTTTGCCTTTCAATTAACAATTTAAAATTATTAAAAATTTATACCATTATAAGCGATTTTTTTTTAAACTTTAAAAAAAGCTATATATATCTATATAATATTTTTCATAACAATACCTAATACAAATATAATATACTTGTACTTATGTATATGTACATACAAATACATTTAAAAAAACTTTCAATTAAGTTATTTGGTTTCAATTTTTTGCCTTAAATTTTTTTTTCACACTATTTTGATGTTACACTCTGTATTATTGTTTAGAATTACATAATTAAAAATTAAAAAAAAAATTAATTATTTCTGAATAACAGAATTGGGAAAATTTAATTATGTTGTGATAATTGTATCAGGACTTGTTTTGGCAACTACTTTAATAGAAACTCTTGGTATAAGTTATGTATTACCAGTTTCAAATTGTGATATAATGTTAACAACAACTGAAAAAGGATTAATTAAATCAATTGGTTTTATTGGTATAATAATAAGTTCACATTTTTGGGGATTTTTAGCTGATACATCTGGTAGACGTAAAATTATGGCACCAGCTTTATTTAGTGCATTTATTTTTGCTGTTATATCCAGTTTTTGTACAAATTTTTGGATGCTAATTATATTCAGATTTTTCACATGTTTTTTGTAAGAATATTTAAAAATTACACATACATATATTATATATATTTTAAATAATAGACGGTTTCGCATACATGTATATACTCGAATATAAAAATTAAAATATTAACAAATTGGACTTTGAAATTAAAATTTAACCATTATTTAATACAATTAAAATTCATGGTGTCTATAATATCAAAGTCCGATTTTAATGTAGGTATACGAGTATTCGAAACCAAAACTTATATTTTATTAATACCTAAGAAATTAATCCGAATCATTTATGTATAATGTTAATTTTCAACTAAAACTTTAGTTTTTAAACAATTTTTGCTTTAGTGAACGCTTATATATAGGCGCTCTGGTTTTAATTAAGAGTTTTTTCACTAATTAAATCCTTCAACCGGAAAATAAAAGTATACATACTTTTATTTACGCTGTAAAAAGGAAAAGTTCGAGAAAACGAATGTTAATAAATAGTTTGAAAAGAAGGGTGAAAAAAAAAAGAATTTAATAGATTAGAGAAAATCAAAATCGTTTTAATTTAAAGTCAAAGATACTAATTTAGTTCTAATGAACCAGCACTAAAGCGTACGCAGGGTAATTATAATTGAAACACTATAGTAAACAGTTGAAAATTAATTTTTCTTTTTTAAATTTATTTAATATTGGTTTGGTTTAATATTCAAATTAATAAGCCCCAATATTTTTTAAAAGAATATTTGACAAAAATACAATAAAAAAGCTGAGGAATTATTAAAATGCTTTAATAATAAAATCTTTAAATGAATAAATTTAAGTATATCAGCGGGATCTGCTACAATATACGCTTATGTTGGAGAATTTCATTGTAATAAATTGCGAAGTAAAGCAATTATGGCTGCATCAACATTATTTGGTATAGGAGCTACTTGTTTACCATTATTGCCATGGTTAATTTTAAATGAAAAATGGTCCATCGAAATTGATGCAATTAACATTACGTATAAACCATGGAGATTACTTATTATAATATATGCAATACCAGATTTAATTTGTTCAATTCTTTTATGGATATTACCTGAAAGCCCGAAATTCCTTTTATCAATTGGCAAAAAGGAAGAAACTTTAAGTGTATTAAGGACAATGTATAGTTTTAATACAGGAAAAAGTAAACATGATTTTCCAGTAAGTTTTATTTTGTTTAAAACTTTTTATCAATATAATTAAAATTAATAATTTCAACCATGTTAATCTGGCTATGTTTTTTTTTTTGGTTCTATACATAATTTTTTCCGGGTATGAAATTTGAACTGTAATAATTTTAATAACATTAAAAAATCTCAAATTTTAAGGTAAAATTTTAATATTGCCAATTTTCCTCGGCCAACTATTTTCCTCATGCTTTGTATACATACGTTTCATATATATGTACATAATTAGTTATTAGTATAAAATTTACATATAGCTGATAGCATTGTGCAAAAACCAAAACACAAGTAGCTACACGGTTATGGTTTAAAACCCATTTTTAAAAACTTAATTTTTGCTTTTTTATTTTTTTTTTTTTAGGTTAATACATTAGAAAGATGCTTTGAAAAAAATCACACAATAAAAAAACTACCGCCCTCATTAAATCCAGTAATTAAATTGCTTAAAATAATTCAAAGTCAAACTACACCATTATTTTCAATTAAATATTTAAAATCAACTTTACTTGCATCCACTATGCAATTTATAATATTCTTTACAATGCAAGGCTTATATGTTTGGTATCCATACATTTTAAATACTTTGAATGAGTTTGAAAAAATTAATCCAAATAATTCATCATTAATTTGTGAAATAATGTCTTTTAAAGAGAATAAGATCATCTTTAACGGATATCAGGTAATTAAGTTTTGTCATTATATTTTAAAAATTAGAACAAAGCAAAATAATTTCGAACTATGTTGTTTCAAACGAAAAACTAATTTAAAAAGCATAATTAATAATGGACACGTACATATCTACGGAGAAGAATGCATGTGATCATAATACTACTAGCAACATAGTTTCAAAAGAAAAACATATGTCAACATCAAAAATGAATAGTTGTCACTCATCATTAAAAAAATGAGCGATACAACCTTTCATCATTCACTTTTTTGTGACAATGATGACAGAGACCATTATTTTAAAATCTGTACCTTTAAAGTTCTCAAAAAATCAACTTTTTGTTTATTTAATTAGCTGCAATTCAAATATATGCATATACATATATGTACATTTTTTATTCAAAATTTAATAACATTTTCTTGATTTTTCAGAAAGATTCAGAAATAAAATGTCAGGAAGATTTTGAAATTAAAACTTATATTACTTCACTTATACTAGAAATTTTTTATGTAGTTGGTTTTACGGTTATTGGTTTTTCGATCAATATCATAGGAAAAACTTATATTTTATGTGAGCGAAAAATAAATTTGTTATGTTTCAATATTACTAATAATTATTATTGCTATAGTAATAATTTTATCAATATGTGGTATATCTGGACTATTATGCAATTTTATAACATCTCCTACTATATCAGGTTATTTTTATACAATTTTATTAGCTGGTGGAATAACAGTCCCAGTTGTTAATGCTGCCACAGTTGACTTATATCCAACAAATTTAAGGTACGTATATTATATAATATATTAAGTATTATTTGAATAAATGATACAATATTACAAGTTAGAATGTACAAAGTTATTTTAATATATAAAAATTTGTAATATGTATTTGTATTTTTAAAAATAGAGCAATGGCTGTTTCCATATCATTAATGTTTGGACGTTTAGGAAGTGTAGCAGGATCAAATATGGTCGGTTTTCTTTTAAATGTAAATTGTAGGATGGTATTTTACATATCTGGTTGTTCTCTACTTATAGCTGCTTTTTTTGGTTTTTTTATACCAAAACCGAAAGAAAATATTGTGATATGATATTTATATTAATGAATTAAAATTAGGGAAATCAAATTTCGTTAAGATTGAACATATATTCATAAAAACTAAAATTAAAATGAATTATAAATAGCTTTACTAACTAATTTAAATATATGAATAGGAAAATAATAAATATGGTGGCACTAGTTTTTTTAAAAAATTTAATAAGGAATATTATGGAAAATATAGATATTTTAACATTAAATAATGTTTTTTCTTCATACTATTCAGTTGAAACCATTTATCGATTGGAAACCAGAGAATTCAGACGAACTCAGAAAATTTTATAATAAAATAAATATGTATATATACTTCCAAATTTTTTAGAAAGTATATTGTAAAGCACAATCAGTGATATACAATATCAGCAGAAAAGATGTAAATATTTACTCCTGATTTAACTAACGTGACAAAGTCACTCTTATGTGGGCTTCTGGCCATACAGGAATACCTGGAAATAAGGAGGCCGATTATCTGACGAAGTTGGAAGCAAACGCCTTCTTCATTGGGCCTGGTTCGAGCGTGGGCCATTCTATGAGCTATCTTAATCAGGTGGTGGCTGCCTGGGTGAAAAGGCACGCTTCGGAGCTGCAGTGCTCCCAAGCGGGGCTGCCGCGATCCAAAGACTTCTTTGATCATTAGGGAGATTACTTACATTTTAAGGCGGAGTCGCTCTTCATTCAGAGTTCTATCGTGGTTTGTAACTGGACATTTGCTCTTTAGCTCATATTTACAAAAAATTGGCAGATCATGTACGCAGTGATGTAGATTCTGCGATCGGGGCACGGAGGACTCCTTTCATGTCCTTGGATGTGAGATGCCTTGGCCCGCTCTAGATATAGATTTCTCCGGGCCTTGGATTCTCATGAATTGTTGTGCATGGTGGACCTGATAAAATATTTCTTGAGTTCTAATGATCTGGCGCGGGGATGCACAAAAGACCTTTATGGCCAAGATGCTGATTAAATTCGCCCCATACGTAACATAGCATAACATAACTAAACTTGTTAAATACAACTTATATGCAATGTTTAAATACAACTTATATGCAACTTAATGTTTTTAAAATACTGTGATGAATTATGTATTTACAATTTTTGAATAAACTTCAATGATATCAAACATTAAGCACATTAGCTTTCACGTCCTTCCCAAGTACTTCCAGAAACTCTCGCCTCTAGTTCTTAAAACTTTGAAGATTTGCAAAAACAAATTTAAAAATGTGATGTACAGCGTATCGAATAAAATAAATTGTTCGGTATCTTCAATGAAAACATAGTTATTATGTATAAGATAAAATTTTTAAACTTTTTACTACAAAAATAGTATATTAATAATATGATCGTAAATTTATGAAAAAATATTTTACTTTTTATATTGATTGTTCGCCCAAAAAGGTTCAAAAAAAGCTGAGTCTTATTTCTTTACATTATTAGTAAATATTTACAATTTTAAGGGAAATTTAAAACCATAAAATATGAAATAAAAAAAATATTTTATTTTTAGGAAAAAGGAAAAAGAACTATATATGTATATCAGTACTTTTTTAACATATTTTTTTATCATAAAAATTTTCAAATTCAATATCAAAATGTTTGTTCTGTATTTCAACAAAAAAAAAATGGAAGGAATTTTGAAGAATTATTTGTATTAAAGTATTTGTTGTTTATTATACTGTTCTATCTTACTTTTTTGGTTCAACATTTTCTTTTTTAAGAGCAGCAAATCGAGTGGGTGTTGAAGGCTAAAATTAATAGAGTTATTAAATTAATCCAAAAACAGTATTTAATAATTTACTTTTTTTAGTCTATTTATTATTTTTGGAGCTTCCATTGACACTTTTGAACCAGGAGAAGTCTGAACAATACTTCTGGATTTTCCTGTCAATTTTGAAGAACCTGAAAAGGAATTTCTTCGATTTCGTGGGAAATTGCCTGATACATTTAAAGAATTTGACTGAGTTTTCGAATTTGGTGTTACTGAAAGACGTTGAGCATTTACTTTTTTATTAACAGGAGAGCTTGTTGGAGATCCATTCATTGGTGTAGAACAGGCTATTGGAGGATTTTTTATAATGCAATTTCCGGTATTTAACGAAAACGAATTCGTACCGAACACACTTTTTCTTCTTATATTAGAATTTTGAATTGGTGTTGAATGAAGTACCTTTGTACTGGATTTAACAGTGTTTATCTGAAAAGTCGCCTTGATTGGACCTTTTACTGGTATATTTTCACTAGACTTTAATCGTAAGTTTTTTGCATTAAACTCACTTCTTGAAGAAATATATTTTGTTCCGGTATTTTTTGAAGCTCCAGTAGAATTTATTTTAGATGTTATTGGAATATTATCAAATACATTAGCGTTCTCATTTGATTTTTCAATATTAGTATTAATATTTTCATAAATAGATCGTCGAAGACGCAAATTTTTCATATCGCTATGCGGAGTTACACTTGAAACGGAATTACGTCTACTTAAATAACTTCTAGTAGGTGTTTTGAAAAAATTGTGATCCCTCGAATGGTTTATGTTTTCTTTTGAATGACTGTTACTTTTAAGTAACCGCAAATTTTTATTATCAATCAAGGTCAAAGAGCAACTACGTCTACGAAATTCTTTTTGATTAGGGGAAGCTAAAATTTCGTTGAATTATTAATTATAATTATTTGTGAAACCATTATACTAACTGCTATGTAAAAGATTTAACTTACGCATCATAACAATTATAGTTGGTTTTGAAGTCATAGATGACAAAGAGCTTTTTAATTCGACTTGTTCAATACTATCATTTTGATTCTGCTCTAACATTCTACTTATTTGCTTAACCATATAATTAATTTCATTCGGTGTCTCGGACTGTACACATTTATCCTCTTGTTCCTCTGTAACGTTATATAAGCAAATTTATTAGCGACGAATAGTCGTAGATAATTATATGCATACCTGTTTGAATTTCTATATCAAGAACTTCACGTTCTCCATTTTTTTTAGTTTCGCAAATATTACTTTCTCTATCATAATTAAAAGTAGCTTGCCGAACAAAAGCGTTAACAGGCCTTGAATTGTCTAAATTTTTAGTTTCTGTCACTTCAATGATTTCACTTTTACCGAGACCATTTTCGTTTTTTAAAAGGCAACTTAAAGAATCTAAAAGTTTTTGCGCTTCATTTTTTTTTTCAAGATCTGTTTCGCTATTAATAACATAGTTTTTAAGGTTAAATATCAATTGATCAACATTTTCAGCTGATTTTTTATTTTCTTTGTTCTTTAACTTTTCTTTCAAAACACTTATGCCAAATTTCTCAGCATCTGGTTTCATAAAACTTAATTCTGCTGCTGCGGACAATTCCTTTTTTTTAAGATCTTCTGATATTTTATCTAACATAGGTATTTTCAGTAATTCAAGATCTTTTGAGATATCACTCTCTGACATAGAATCTACCCATTTTGGGTTGATTTGCATTAAATCTTCGCATGAATCATCCGAACGCTCTTTAGGTGAAGAATCAAGTGTACTTAAACTGGTTTGGGATAATTGTTTAGCAATTTTGGCAGCTTCATTAAAAATAAGACGCTCTGAGGATGTTTTATCCTCTAATGAGTTTCTTCTACTCACCGGTGATTGAATTAAGGCGTTTGAAATGCTCAACTTTAGTAAACGATTTTTCATATCACCCTTATTAATTTTACTTCGTGGACTATTTTTCTCAATATTTAAGGCGCTACTATTTGTATCTTTTTGATAATCTTTTGGGGGTGAAGTTTTTTCTTCAAAATCTATTAACAACGCATCTTCACACTTATCCTCAAAATTTAATGACTGCTTGACTTGTTTTTGCTGATTATCTAAAGCATATTTTTATATTTAATAATTTAAATTTATAAATTTAAAAATTTTACCGTATGTTTTATTCAAACTGATCGGATTACTATCTTTACTCTCTTCATCAAAAAATTTTACTTTTGATTTACTACTATTTTCAGACTTGGAATTCCAAACGATTTTGAATTTGTTTTCTGATGTTTTTAAATCATTCGCTCCATAATTACTATTTAAATATAATCTCTCTGTTGCTATCAACCTGCTTTGTGAACTTTCTATTAGCTGTGTTTCAATAGGAAAAGTAAGTAGTTTCTCGAATTCATCTGAGTTAAAAAGACCCTTTTCAACATCACACTCTTTCAATTTATCTGAAAAACTTTGAAATTTATTTAAGGTTGATTTCTCACGATTTTCATTAATCTGCAATGGGCTTGTATCAAAGTCTATTAAATTATCCATATTGCAAAATTTTCGTCAATATCAATGTTTGGCCATTTACAAAATCACAAATTTCGTCTTAAAATTTTATGAAAATTTCTTTGTAAGCAAAATAAAATAGTACAAAAGCAACTTTATTAACGCATCCTATTTTTTAAATTTAAATTCAATTTTTCACCTACTTAGAAAATGACATTTGAAACTGACATAAAACCAACATCTTTTGAGCATAATTTACACGTTGAACTTTGAATATGTTCAGCACATTAAAAAGCTTTATGGCTTAAAGCATAAACTCCTATAAGATATCATGTCAAAGTTATCGCTGAAAAAAATACACAACATATACATTTGACAAATTTTTGTTTGTGTATGATAAAAATATATATGTACGTCATTGTGCCAGCAAGTTTTCGGATATCGACATTTTTATTCCCTTAACTGTATAATAATACAATTTTCCGAAAGTCTGAACATTGTATTGAATTTCACTTTTAGGCAGCGTTTATATGACAATAAGATATTGAAAATGATGATTGTGAATGATGAAGATGAGTTTACGTTTACATTGCAATCAATCTTTGTTAATCTTTTTATTTGACTTTAAAATTAAAAATTTAAAAAACTGCCACTCCACTATCAAATAAAAAACCGCAACAAATCGAAAAAACATTAATACAGCCATTCGCAGTTTATATCCTGTCAAAAATAATTGACAGATACAAAACCGATATCTATTTTTTCTTTGATCAAAAGTTTGCTAAAAATGATAAGTTTGCTAAAAATGATTGATCGATGATGTTTACATGTTTAATCTTTAATATTTTTATCAATCTCAATCATTAAAACTTTATAAAAAATATAAGTTAAGGAATTACTTGGGTAACAATTGCTATCTCATAAGACTCTTGAAGATATATTGAGAATTCTTAAAAAATATTACTCTTATAATTTCAGTCTAGTAGAACATGGATGGCAATTAAAGGGCACGCGTGCCAAACTTGGCACGGAAAAAAAATTTGATGGCACGTTATAGTTGTGCCTCGACAAATTTTTATATAGATTTTTTTTCTAATAAAAAATCTAAAAACTCGTTGAAAAATTGATTGAATGAAAAATTTCCTAAAAATGATAATTTCCTAATAGCGAAATGACAAATATTCAAAACCAAACATATTCAAATGTTATATTCTTTTTATTTTTGTTTTTTTTTCACTTCACTAAGTAAAGTATTGAAAAAAAATTGAAAACGAAAAAAAATTCAAACCGCTTTGAAAATGCATTGAGTATTCAAAAATTTCAAAAAAGAAAAAACATAGTAAACTTTGAAGTTTTCTTTTTAAAACAAAAAAGTTGTGGTTTTTAGGGTATGAAAAATTATCCATATTTCATTTGGAGCGAAGTTAGCAAGAGTGAATGTCATAATTGTTTTTCTGAGTTTACACAACACGTGTCGTGTTTAGTTTTTTACCGTTATTTTTAATTGAAAATACTTCTAATAGAAAGTGAATGAAAAACATCGACCAATTTCTAATGCTAAATATTTTTACAGCTGTAAACTTGATTTCGGTAATGAACTAATTTAACAAATAAACATTATTTAAATATATATAATTTTTATCGTGTAATTTTAGATTTAATTATTTACCCCATTAACATGTCACCAATAAAAAAACAAAAACTACAGGATGTTCGCAGTTTTTTACCATCTTGGACAATTGATTACGGCTTTATTAAACATGGAGATAAGAGTCGTTGTGGTCTGTGTTCCGAAGTTATTGTATGTCGAACATCTTCTATTAAACGACATTTTGAAACTAATCACATGGAAATTTCTGAAAAAAATATTGCCGAAAGAAGAGAATTAATATCACAACGATTAAAAGATGTTGAAAAACAATCAAATTTGTTTTCAAGATTTGTGAAAACTCCTAATAATATAACAGAAGCGAGTTTTGAAATTTCTTATTTGATTGCTAAACACTCGAAACCATTTTCTGACGGAACGTTTATAAAAACACTTATGTTAAAAGCTGCTTCCAGTTTGTTCCAAGATTTCAATAATAAGGAAAAAATTCTCCAAAGAATACAAGAATTACAGATGAGTAGAAATACTATTAAACAAAGAATTTTAAAAATGAGCATTAATATTTCCGAACAACTTCAAACCGATATTAATAGTTGCGATTTCTTCTCAATTTGTTTGGATGAAACAACTGACATAAACTCGTCTGCCCGATTAGCAATTTTTGCACGTTATTCAAAAGGGAATGAAATACGCGAGGAGCTGTTGAAATTAGCAAATATACCGGAAAGAACAAGAGGTGCAGATATTTGTGAAGTTGTTGTTAATGAATTAAAAAGCCTTAATCTCAATTTAAAAAAAATTGTTTCTATTACAACGGATGGAGCACCTAATATGACTGGTCCGGCAACAGGGTTTGTTAATTTATTTCAAAAACATGTTGGACATCCGATTATAAGATTTCATTGCATCATTCACCAGCAAATGCTTTGTGCAAAAGTAGGTACTAGCGATTTAAAAGAAGTTTCAGAAAAAGTTAATAAAATTATAAACTTTATTGTTGCACGTGATATGCACAAAAGACAATTTAAAAAACTTTTAAATGATGTCGATTGTGGATATGACACTCTTTTAATGTGCAATTACGTGCGTTGGCTGAGCCGGGCCATATCGTTAGAAAGATTTGTGAGCTGCTTGGATAAAATACGTCTGTTTTTGCGTGAAAACAATAGGGTCGATTTTAAAGAACTTGATGACATAGAATGGCTAACAAAATTAATGTTTTTCACTGATTTAACATTACATTTAAACTCTCTAAATAAAAAATTGCAAGGGCGTGGGAAGACGATTGAAGTTATGTTTGGACTTATAAAGGGGTTTGAAGTTAAACTAGATATTTTCATTAGAGATATCGAATCTGGAAAATTTGAATATTTCCGAAAACTAAAAATTTTTTTTGATGAAATACACATTTTTGAAAAAACTAATTGGAATTTCACCTATGAATTTACAAATATTCTTGTTTCTATTAAGCAACAGTTTGCACAAAGATTTCTCGATTTTAAAAGGATCGAAAATATTTTAAAAATTATTAATTACCCAAATTTATTTGATATGCAAGATTGTAACAATAACCTCCTTAATTGGATGCGATTAGATAATTTAGAAATGCAAATTATTGATCTGCAATCCAATCCAATTTGGGTAAATAAATTTGTGAATATGCGGAAGCTTGTTGAAGATTTAGAAAGCCATCGATCCCAAAATGTGGAATCAGAATGTTTCATGGAAAGTAAAATTTTAGAAGCTTGGAATAGTATGCCAGATACCTTTTATTCTGTCAAAAAATTAGCAATCTCGTTGTTAACGATTTTCTCTTCCACTTACTCTTGCGAAAGTCTTTTTTCCGTTTTGAATCATGTACATTCAAAGACTAGAAACAGATTAACAGAGGAAGATTCGGCAGCATGTATTACTCTGCAGTCAACAATGTACCAGCCCGACATAAAAACTCTTGCAAGTAATATGAAACAAAAAGTTTCTGATAAAAAATTAAATTAATATTTTTTCTATCTGTATTTATTAATTTTTATACCTTGAACTATAATATGTATAAATAAATATTATTACAACTTGTCATAATATTGTATTTACCTAACCATACCTGTACTTGGTACTGTGCTGGCACGGGAAAAAGTGTGACAATAAATTTCCCCAAATGTTGGCACTTTGATCAAACCCTATTTGCCATCCCTGTAGTAGAACACTAAAAGGCCCTAGTGAGATCTTTATAAGAACAAAAGAGCTCATTTACTAGAGTTATTAATTCTTGTAATGAGAGTTAAGCTCCCATCAAAAGAGTTTTTAAAGCATATAACTCTCATACCAAAACTAGTATGAGAGCTACAAAAACTCTTACAAGCCTTTTGTAATAGTGTTACTAGAAGGAGAAAGCAACATATTGTAGAAAAATATTGTCGGTCTAACTTCAAATTTTATAAAAAATATATCTGTTCCATTTTTAATAATTATTTTTTTAACAAAAATGAAGCAAAATGTACATATGTTTACGTATATGATATGTAATCAATAAATATTTGTATTCAAAAATTTAATAATATAAAATTATAAATATGGGAAATTAAAATAATTTTTTTGCCATGATTATAAATAAAAAAGTTGCTGGCATTAAAATTTTATTGATAAAAGTTGATATTGTACTTCGAAAAAAAAAAACGCCAACTTAAAAATTTAAAAAATTTTTATGCATATTTTTTAACCCTATAATATCTTGTTTCTTTTTTTTTTTACATAAATTTTAAAATTTAAGAATTGTTAAACAAAAAATAAATATACTAATGTACAAAAGTTGCAACTAAAGCTTTATTATATTCAAATAAAACTATAAATTTGCATTTCATTAACTTTAATTTAATAATTTCAGTACAATAAATATTTTTCGGATTTCTTTCCAAAAAAACAATTCTCAGTCAATTAAGGTTTAAAATTTAGATAAGGAAAAATTACAATACTAAAATGACCGTGCCTAACAACTAGAATTATAAAGGAATTCTTTTAAAAACAAAATTCTATAAGATTTGACATCTTATAAAAAATACTTTATGAGAATTAAAATTTTTTATGGTTTGCTGAAAGTAGTTCTGCTATGAGAGTGGCTGAATTTTTAACAATACAAGTGCTAAGTCGTTATTGTAAGAACCTTACGAGAGTTGCATAAAAAGAAAAAAAATTATGAGTGTATTCGAGTGTGGTATGAGAGTTTTATGAGATTTTTGGTCAATTTTTTAGAGTATTATTCCTGGAAATTGGAATTAATTGATATACTTGATTGTAAATTTCTTGTTTCTAAAAATAATTTCAACATGTTACCTTGGTGGGCATTAAAAAATATAATCAACGACGATGTTCGCTGTTTACTTAAAACAACAGCGGTACTTCAAAATCAACTGTGTCAAACTGTGGAAACAAATAATATCAAAAAAAACTCGCAAGCGGTAAAATAGTAATTTAGCTTATTTTAATAAATAAATTGGCGGTATCTTGATTCTGGGCAGTCAGTCCCATTTAAATATGTGTATTCTATATGAATTCTGACATTTCACCGCGCAAAATAACTCTTTTTCTGTTTTCAACTTTAGGCATCAACGTAAAAGGACGTACATTTTAAATGTACAGATATGTATAGATTTTAAATGACCTATGCGCATACTCAGCGTATTGGATTTATTGATTTTGACAAACATTTTTTCTCTGTTTTTTTTTTCAATGTCAATGATCTGCTTATTGGGTCTTTGCACATTTGTGTTGTTTGAGCATTATTACTCTCTATTCTTCCCCCTTTATAAGCCCTATTTAATTTAGAAATTAGAAACTTTTTAGAAGTAAAAGCTTTACAAAGCTGATAAAAATAGAAATTTACATATATTTTTATGGAAGCCATAGAGGGCACTTTTATAATCACAAATCTCCCACAAGATCAATTTTTTCGAAATTTTTAATAAGAAAAGTTAACATTCAATTTTTTCTACTTTAGTACTGCTTACATTCTTAGTACTGCTTACATTATCAATTCTCATAAGTAACGAACCTAAAATTTAGCAATATTAACTTCTTTGAGAAAACAATATTGAATTTTAAAAACCCAAAAATTTAAGAATATAATACATAAACGTTAGACTACGCGACGTGCTTAATTCGGTTAGGTTATGCGTATATACGTATCTTCCTATCTACCTAGTAAGTGCAACGCATCCATTGGTGTTGATCTCTTAAATGAACTTCAAATAATAAGCATATTTAATGCATTATTGTTCTTCAATAAATAAGCAGGCCTGACGCATTTTGACCTTGTTGTAAGACTTATTTCGACCTTTTTTCTTATATTAATACTTTTTAGTAGGCTTTAAATCCCGCAGAAAAAGTCATATGCTTATGTGCAGAAATAGTATTTTTTTGTGAAACTAAATTTTGCATATTATATGCATTAACCCAGCATTTACACGTACAAGTTACTTGCAAGAAAGTTGCAATACATACAAAAATTTTAATAACACATTGAAATATTTCTACTTGCTTGTTTACTTGCAGTTCAACTTGCAAGAAAATTTTGCTGCCAGTAATTTGAGCAAGTAATTTGACATATTGAGAAATTCACAAAAAAAAATATGTTGTTTTGATTTTTTTTTTTTTTAATTTAAAATTTTTGAATTTTGTTTTGAAAAAATTAAACTTAGCAAACTTATGGTTTCTAAAATTTATAAACAATTATATATATTGCTAGTTGTTTTCTTCTCAAAGACATTTTCAAAAATTAACTTGCTAAACGCCTACGTCATAATAGCAAGTAATTTGACATTTCGAAAACTAATTGACAATTAATATTATACAAACTTGCTTGCATGTAACTTGTATGTGTAAATGCTGGGTAAGCCTAAAGGAAACACAATTCTTACACAGTTTTAAATAAAAGTAAAAATTTTCGACTGTCAATGAAAGTAGCAAAACGATTTACGTTTACTCACAAATTAACCAACAGATTTGATAATAACATTAAAGAAGTAATCGGGAATGGCATAACCCTGTTAATGTTATATAAAATGCTACCACTTAGCATTGAATTGACATTTGAGTCATCATCTGAATTATCAAAAATCAAAACAATCAAATTTATAATTAAACAGAATATCTGAAAACGGGATTTCACCTTTTATCAAAAAAGTCTTATCAACTTTAGTTATAAAATTTGTGTTCAATAGAATTCACTTAGCCAAAAATGGGAGGTAAACAGCTTAGAATGCAATTCATAATTTCTTGTTAAATTTAGTTAATGTTTTTAGATAATTATTTTGGGAGTTCAATAGAGGAGATTTACAGAAAAGCAGCTTATTTACATGAATTTGATCATATTGAGGATATAAGGCCTTGGAAAAATCATGCGGTTTTATTCCAATATCCTTTTGGCGATTCAGTAATACCACAGCCATATGGCAGAAAAAAAGAACATGAAGACAAAGACGGTGTGCGGTTACCATTTTACCAAACTTCAGTCATTCAAATTGAAGACGTAAGCTTATATTGGACTGTTTTTGTATTATACATACATACATATGTATATTTATTAAAAAAATGGTTAAGAAATATAAATTTCCCTTAAATGATATTCAATTTGCATTCTTGTTCTCTTTTGTTTTATAGACAGAAGGTAAAACTACGCGAGAATTGCTTTGGATGAAAATTTTATTAGCTTTAGAATCAAGAGATTTTGATTCAAGTTGGGAATTGGAAGAAGCGATTAAGTCTTATAATAACAGAATTGGGACGCTTTATTCACTCCATGAATATTTTAGTGAAAATTATGAAACATCAACGTACTTTTTCAAAGTCCTATTAAAAAGAATTATTTCGTTAGCTTTGGATTTGCCTCATCATATTAAAACTGGCATACCTTTATTAAAGCAAGGTCATAATCAGTCTATAAGTTTAAGTCAACAACAAATTGCTTCTTTATTGGCTAATGCATTCTTATGTACCTTTCCAAGTAGAAGGCTTCAAGAGCAGAATTGTCCGGAAATAAATTTTAATAGGTAAAATGCATTTTTCAATTTTAAAAATAAAATGTTTATGCATTTTTCATTAGGCTTTTCGAGTCAAGGGGCCCCCAAGTTTTATCGAAAATTGAATGCCTTATAAATTACTTTCGAAGGGTTTGCATAAAACCTCCTACCGGGGTTTTAACATTTTCACGACGTTCAAGAAGATCTGCAGATTTTCCGAATTGGAGTACTATAAAAGAACCATTTTCAAGGGCTGTTATACACATAACGTCTGCTGGAACAATTGAAGATAATGGAGTCGGTTTGCTTCAAGTAGACTTTGCGAATAAATATATTGGTGGTGGTGTTCTTGGAGGAGGTTGTGTTCAAGAAGAAATAAGGTTTGTGATTTGCCCTGAACTTATAGTTAGCAGATTATTTACAGAATTTTTAAAAGATAATGAAGCGCTATTTATGGTTGGAGCAGAACAGTTTAGTAGTTACACTGGTTATGGATATTCTTTTAAATTTTCTAAAGATCATAAGGATAATATTGAAATTAATCAAAAAAATAGACGTCGTTTAACCCATATTGTTGCCATTGATGCCTGTTATTTTCCAAATTCATCTCGTCAATATGAACCTCGTTTTATTAAAAGAGAGTTAAATAAAGCATTTGTTGGTTTTTTCCATTCGAATGCCGCTTTATTACCACCGGGTGTTGCAACAGGAAACTGGGGTTGTGGTGCATTTGGTGGGGATTCGCAATTAAAAGCTTTAATTCAATTAATGGTCTGCACAATAACAAATAGACCCTTATTGTACTTTACATTTGGAGATAAAAAATTGAGTAAAGAAATCCATGAAATGTATGTATTCTTAATTGACAATAATATAAACGTTCGACAATTATTTAATTATTTATGCGAGTATATCGAACAAGCGAAGCAAGCCGAAAATTTGTATGCATTTATAAGGAGGAGGCACCAGGAAGATAATAGTTCATTTTGTAATTATGTAAGTAAAAAATTCAAAAGTTTTTGTTTTAGTGAAATCAAAACTTTAGCAAAATATCTTGGATTAACATCTTTTGTATTGGGGTTTAGTGCACTACTAATCATAGCTTTACTTCTTAATAGTAGTTATAGAGTACCGCGGTACAATGAAATAAAAAATTATGAATATGCATTACCAAATAAAATAAAAATTGAAAATTTTCCAAGAAAACGAAATCCATTTGAGCAATTCTCATTTCAAAAAAATGAGAGAAAAAAGAAAAATTTGGTAATTTAGACTTTTTCTTCAGCATTTACATTTTATTTTGTTTGCAAATTCAGAAAATATACATAATTATTGTTTTTACTTCATTTTAATTTAATTTCATTTTATTTGTTTTGACAAAATTTTTGTAAATTTGATGCAATGAAAATAAATTGAATTTAAATGGTTTTTTTTTTGTTTTTATTGATTTTAATCTAATATTTTATAGTTGTTAAGTTAGTTAATTAAATATTTAGTTAATTTATTGCGGAATCGAAATTAGATTATATGTAATCGAAATATTTTAGTAGGTATTTTCTGTCAGCAGTTATTTCAGCACACTTTCAAAATAATTTCCCTTCAAAAACAAATAAATTTTTTAAATTCTATTTCTTTTAACATATAAGTAACCTACAAGTGACGCACATAGACAATTAATAAAAAATTTATAATAGGTTAAATTGTTTAAAAAATTTTTTGGTTAATTATAATCACACTTATAATTTTACTATATATGTAGGTATTGACGCATATTGAAAAAATAATTTTAAATTTAAAACTTTTTTTTTGCAAATTCGAAAATTGGTCTTGTAATATTAGTTTCTATCACAATAATGCAAACCATATTTCCTACTCATGTATTTTAAGTACAGCAATCCCTCCTATAACGTAATTTTTGGGACCGAAAAATTTTTACGTTAAGTGAAATTACATTAAAGGAGGTCCAACTAAACTAATATGACTAATATGTATGTATGTACTTGATATTTGTCTAAACTAGTAAGTTGTCTGTTGGTAAAGAAAGAAATTTAAATGAAAAAAAAATAGATTATTGCATATTAAATTATTTTAAAATTACGTAAAACGAGGTAAAAGTTACATTAAGTGAAAATAGGTAGGAAAAATAAAATTTACATACAGGTATCCCTTGTATAACGCGATAGTTACGTTCCAGGGAAATTCCGCGTTATGTGATTCGCGTTATATAAGACTTAGTTTTCATATAAATTTGGGGGTTATGTTCCAATAAGTTTTTTTACAAAATAAAATACATATTTAATAAGAAATAACATATATTTCAACTCAAAACTAAAATTCAGATTTTGTTTTAAAATTAAAACCATAAAATAAAAATAATAATTCAAAAAATAAAATAAAACAGATTCATACATATAATTAAATTTAAAAAAAACTAAAACAAACTTCATTATAATTAATCTGTTTCGCTGTCTTAATGTAACTTAATAAACTTAATGTAACTTTAATATTATCTTATTATTCAAAATAATTTAAAATTTCTTAGAGGGGACAATGGGGCTCTGATATACGATCAAAAGATGTCAATTGTAATAAAAAAAGTGCCAAAAAGAAGCGAAAGCGTAAATAATTTCATATAAAAGTCGAAAGCCGTTTCTTTATTAAGAATTGCTGCTATTTTTAATGAGTAAAGGATGTGAAAATCGAAGTATTTCATAAAAAAATATTTGCAATTAATTTTCTTAAGTAATTCGAGCAGATGCACCTAATAAGTATAACAATTAACTTTGTTTTTTTTTTCTAAAATATTTAAATTTTAAAATATATAAGTTTTTATTAGCTTGAATGCGTAAATTATTTTAGGTGAAATTATTAAAAAACATAATTCTTATTTACATAATAAAAAAATTAAACTAAATTGTTTGTAAATTAAGTTATTGGGTCGAAAAATGTAAAAGCAGTATGGAATAAATTTCATATGTATATTTAAAATACATAAAAAAAATACATAATGTAACAATTTCTCCATTAAAATAAATTTTTTCACCATTTGTCCGATGTGTTTTATAAATGTATTTATTTTTACTTTTCCTATATAACAAAAAAGAAAAAGCAAAATCTTCAATTCAAAAATTTAAAAAATAGGGAATTTAATTTTTAGTATGACTATTTAGTAGACTTTATAGTAAGATAAAAAATTTTTATGAAAAAATAATATTATTTAAAAAAATTATGTAAAAATTGTTCATAGTCTTGTAAAATATTTTAATTATGTATTTTAGAATTATTAAATGAATTTGAAACAAGTATATATTTTCTAAAAATTATTAAAATAATTATTTTTTTTAATTGAGTAATAAAGTTGTATAGCATAAATTCTTTTAAATACATTTTTGAATATTCTTTTAATTATGCCAATATTTCTAAAACTCTATAAACCTTTTTAAGTACATAATGAATTTATGTGGGTAAAAGTTAAGATTATTATTTTAAGGTAAAGGGATATTATCACTGTTGTTTTGAAATTGATATTCTTTAAAATTTATCCGGAGTCAGCAAACTTTTTCGGACGAAAGGACATTTTCAAAATCAAATTTGTTTTGCGAACCCGTTCATTCAAATGTAACATAAATAGACTTTTATTGAAAATAAATATAGAAAAATTTTATATAACATGCAAAATATACAATTTTTATATATGTATTTAATAAGTAAATATATAAATATCAAAAATATAATGTATATATAATATATAATTAAAATATATACTTGAAAAATTAAGTTATTAAAATTCAATGAGGTTGTCGTTCTTGAATATTGTTCGATAATTTATATAAGTCTGCATGACCCGCATCACTTTAAATACTTATAGAATTATAACGTTTTTATAAAATGGGTCTTAATAGGTGATTCAAAAACAATTTTTTAAATTAAGTAGGTAATTAATTCAGTTTTTTACATAAGATTAATATATTATAATTATAATATGTTTATTTCCGATTAATTTTTGTTTTATATTTTTTTTTATAATTATTCTTTTTTTTAGATACTAGGTTGTCTAGCTAAACTGTAGAATATTAATATGCTCTTCAGCCATCACAATTATGTCTTGCATGTTTATTTTGAATATAAAATTTTTCCAATATGAGTTTTTGTTATAAAACAAGTACTACAAATTTATATTTTTTAATTATTTATTAGTTAAAAATTATTTTTTTTAAATTTGAAACACGAGAACAAACTATTCATTTTTGAAAAGTGATCAATGTGAGTATGCAAAAACAAACTACTTACATATAAATATACACATATGTACATGCATATACCTAGATTTAAATAAACTTTATAATTTTTATCAATGTAATTTATTATAAAAGTGGAGATTGCTATAAATTGGATTGTTATTTTTAAAGTATGTAGATGTTTCATTTACTTTAAAAATGATAATCAGATTCACTGTTTGCAGAACATTATAATGTAGAACAATATCATCATACAAATTATACAATAACCCAGTATTCGTGAAAAGTTGGATTAGTTTGGCTGCATTTTTATAATGGATTGCTTTTTTTTTCTTTTATACTTTTATACTTTTTTATATGTTTTATATTAATATCTAATTATAAATTTAAATTATCCTCATATATAAGTTAAAATTCATTAATTAATAACTATTGGTTAAAGTTTTTTAAAGTAATACTAGTACATATAATAACACTTACATACATTAAGTAAATAATTTTCTATAAATTAATAGACCTTCCTGGTTTCGGTTTGGTATAACCAAAAAATATTTGTTTACATTTGATAAATACTTTGAAATTTTATGTTTATCACCCTATTTATAAAGTTTTTAAGTTTTTATTTTCTCTTTAAGTGAAATTTTTTTTTCTTTTTGCGAGAAATTTCATGATTATTCTTCTTAAAGTAGTTTCAAGTTTTATCCCAGACATACCTACCTAATACGTACACATACTAAGAAGTAATTTTACCAAAAATCTCAAAAGTTTTGTAAATTAAATAAAAATCTTTTTATTCTAATTAATCTAATTTTCAATTTGTTTTACAAAATTTTGATATTGAATTTATTTGTTAAATGATTTTTTTATAGGAATAAAGGATATTGCTTATTCCAAGCCATATACATATGTATTTATTTGGCTGAAATTAAACTTCTTTTTTTTTTTTTTTTAAATCAAAAAATTAATACTAGACCAAATTCACATTAAGAGAAATTTTTTAAAAATACATTGTTGCTTATATGTATATGTATTTCAAAAAATTTAATGCAGAACTTATTTTACAGCAGTCGTGCAATAGGAAAAATGAGCAAAACACCAAATCACATACTGACAACGAAATCAATAAAACTGAAATGGAAAATGATTTATCGCCTTCGGAAATAAAATTAATCCAAGAAACAGTATTGAACAATGAGATTCAGGATCCATGGCCTATTCCCTCTTCAACTGATCAAGAAAAATGTTATAATGAAAACTTACAGCAAAAAGATTTTTATGAATCACAATGCGAATCTACTAAATCTATTTCCAATGATTTAAAATTATCAGATCACAAAACTTATCCAGAATCAGCACAAGACAATGAAAATAATTTTTTGATACAAAGTGATAGTAAAAGATTTAAATCTGAAAATGAAATTATTGGACAAAACACAGCGTCAACGAGCGCAAAACCTAATAAGAATCTTAGCAAAAACACAAAGTCAGAAGTCGTACAGGTTCACAGTTATGGTCGATCATCTTAGATTTTCTTTAAAAATATTCTAACATAAGTAGATCGTTAGAAAATTTATTGAACATAATTATTACATATTTCTTTTTGAATTTTTGTTATTTACAGGTTTATATTTTGTAAATTTTGTACTAGTATAGCTTAATAAGTTTTACAACCCGACTAGAAGCGGGACAATGGAAAATATTTTCTTACAAAAATAATTCATCTAAAAATTGTCAATCAAGTTAAATTTTTTTTTATCTTTATTACTTTGAAATATCGTTATATACCTATATGCATTTGTTTTAAGGTATATGTATGTATGTACATACTAATTGTAAATTAATAGTATTGAAATAAAAATAAATTGTAATAAAAAAAATTTGTAAGATAACGAAATTTGCGATTATATTTTTTACTAACAATGCTGTGTCTCCAAAGATAATGTACATGTAGTTCAACTTTCCCGTTCAAATAAATATTTAACAATAATTCTTCGCCTTGAATTTTTCTAAAATTTAAAGTACTTTATGTACATACACATGTAGTAGTAGACAATTTTATATTATGGTTGCTAATTTTTACCAATGCGAAAAATATAAAGAAAGCGTGTTTTTGATGAAATGCAGCTTCTAAGGCTAGATTTGCAAAGCTTTACTACCTCTACATTTACTTTGTACATGAAGCTTTAAAAACTTAACTGCATTGTCAAAAACACCCAAATAACCTTTAACATTTTAATGATGTTAAGAGCCGTATTATATTAAACCTTATTTATTTTCCTCAAATTGAGCAAATCATATTTTCACTTGGGATCTCTTGTGGCCTCCGTAAGTAGTTGAAATGAATAATGTATTATAATGAAACATGTTTTGCAAATGTTTTTGCAATTATATATTTTGAACAGAACTATTATTTCAATTTGTACAGTATATGCCTATGTATGTATGCAAATAGAAAATTCAAGTCAAATACTCGATCACAGACATATTTATATTATAGAAGTTTATAACTCAATCCACCATACAAATGAAATATACGTACATAGCCATTTAAAAACATTGTCTGTTCCACTTAACCAGGGCTGACAGAAATACAGATTTTTTGTAATTTCAAGTCTAAAACACATCACTATTTTTTTTTTTTTTTTGGAATTTGTCATTTCTAATGAGTGCAGGCTTTTAAGATTTCAAGTTTAAGTTCAAAAATGGTATGTACCTACAATTTTTTTTGAACAATCGACAAATATTGATTCCTTTTCACGCAAATTTATGTTGAATTTAACTTAGACAAAGTAAATCTATTTTATAAATAGTTCGACTCTCCGTTCAAGATAATATTGAAAAAGAGGTTATCCAGTATTACAAAGTTACATTTCCAGATTAAAAACTATATGATGTTTTCGTATAAAATCCATCTTTAACCTGAATTGTACAGCAAAAACTTTGGATAAACACACGGCTACATGGTAATCACCAAGGTATCACATGTTTTTTTGTCAACATAATATTATGTACATATAAACAAATGCAGTGTTGGCGCATAAGTTTAAATAATTTTTATGAAAATTTCGATTTGAAACTTGAAATCAACATTAAAACGAAAGAACAAAAACATATTTATTTCTTTTAATGGTAAATTAAGAAAATTGTAAATTATGGATGCAAAAAGCTCCTTTTAATAATGAATATTTTATATCCAAGCTTATTCTTGAATTCATAACTTCCGTGATGTTTTTTGCTTTATAGTACAGAAATGTTTTTGTTGTGTTTGAATATGATGAAAAATTCCATTGATAATATAATACGTGAATATCTGCAATAAAACGCACTGTACCTTTACGTCAAATTTATGTTTTAGCAAATATTAGCGTTACCAAAGTGTCTTGCTTTTAATGCAGCCAAAGTGGAGGCTTTATTTCAAAATATTTACATTTTTTGCGAATATTAGGAAGATTTTCTGGAAAAATTAATTTTTACTTTGTGGTAAAATCACGAACTTGGATTTACCAGTAAATAATCTAATATTTTGCTTTAAATATTTTTAAAGTTATCTATTGTTGTACACACATTAAATTTCTCCTTTTAAAACTTTACCTGTTAATAGACTAAGCAAACAAATATTTTAAAAATATTTAACAACAACGATAAATAACCACAAAACTATGCGATTGAATTCATATATGTTTCTTAAAAATGGAAAGCTTATTAGATGATATAATTCCCTTTACAGATAGCTTATAATTCTACACGTAGATGCAAAAATAATTTCTTAAAGGTAACTTGTTTGTTTTGTTTGCTAAATAGGAAATAATCGCAACAACAATTCATTTAAGGCAGTTATGATTTAAGCATTTTGTGATATACTGTACTTCCAAGACCCTGATGTAACTGTAAACGAAATTCAAATATTCAATGAGTATGTTTTATTACACTAGCTTATATATACAAATTGGCCTGACCATTGGTACAGTGGTTATTGCACCGGTCCTTTAACAGAAGCGTCTCGGGTTCAAACCCCGGTCAGGTCACTATAAGAGTTATATTCAATATTATAGCTTCAATATACAATACATTATAAAAATAACAAATTAGTATACAAGTATTTTTTATATATATAAAATATGAATATTCATAAAACTCGATATTGAAAGTAATTTTAAATATTTAAATATAAAAAAAAATGTATAAAAATTATAGCGTTTTTGAGGCGACTTATATCACGCCATACACAGTGACTTTATTCCGTAATCCCTTTCATTTAATTTTTTTAAAGTTTTGAAAATATTACGTTCACAATTTGGATATTTTATATAATTAGAGATTAAGTTTAATAAGAATTATAACATCTGATTACGTAAAAATTAGATTTTATCATGAAGGAAATTGTTTAACATTAGATTTAAAAAAAAAATATATATTAGCGAACATCTAACGAAAACTATTTTGTTTTCCGGTCAAAAATTTAATGTAATGCACATAAGCAATAATGAACAGAAATATTAAGTAAACATAATTTGTTTTAATTTTGAAGAAATAATTATGTTTGTCTATAAATAGAAATATGTATACATTGCTGAAATGTTATAAATTTTTTGTTGAAAAAATAATTCACATCAATTTCTAACTATATTCATATTTCCTAACTATATTTTCAAACCATTTCTGGCAACACTTTTCATAAAAAAAATTTTTTTTTTTTTTTTTATTTCAATATTATATTGCAACTAAGTTAATGTAACCTATCTAGCAATTTTATGTTCTGATACGTTGAGGAGGAAGGGGAGTAATACCCAGTGGACAAACCCCTTAATTAATTTAGTTGTTTATTCTGAACTTGATTTATTCAATCAAATCAAACGGCTTCAGTCTTTTTAATCTTCTTTTGTGATTTGGAGTCTGAACTAAGCTCCTAACTTCAATATTTGGATGGCGAAGTGTTCTATCTTTGTGTTTAATTGCCTGGATTTTTATTTCTTCTGTTACTAAATTTATTTTTAGATCGCGGTGGATCATATTGTTACGAACGTACCACGGCGCTGCTGTTATATTTCTCAGTACCCTATTTTGTAGTACTTGTAATGTAATTGAATACCGTAGGTCCATATGGGTTTGATTATTTGGTTGTATATTAATAATTTGTTTTTATGTAATAATAAAACAATTTTTTTTCATATTTTGTAATATTTAACAGCAGGTATTGAAACATGATTCATCGCAAAGTTCTTACGTTTAAATCGAAGTATCAGAATATCAAGGGCTTTGCACGTAAATGTAACAATGTTAAATTTTATTGCTAATATTTGTAAAAACAACGTGAACGAACAAATGCAAAATTTCCATTGCAAAGTAAAAAAATTGCAGTTAATTTCATATATAAATGTCTAGTATTCCTTTTCTGAGATGTAAGTATATCACTTGACTTTGAAAAGTCAATCGAATTGTTGAAATAAAATATCGGTAAAAATTTATTATAATACAACAACAGTAATGTCTTTAAAAAATTTGCGCAAATTACAATATTTTCAGCATAATAAGTATATCAGTCTGGTTGCCGTTCATTTTAAACTAGAATGCATTTTTTTGCATAATATTCTATTCTGTGATATTTTAAAACGGCAACCCTGAATCATAAATAATATGAAGTACAATGTTTACACTTATGTATGATGAGCACGATTTGGATCGAATGTTTGAATATTGAATAGTTGTCACTATCAAAGAAACGAATATTGATTATATTTCAGTATCGAATATATCGAACAATATTTGTAATGAATTTGTTTCTTTATAATAGATATTATATACGACATAATGGGTATATAGTATAAATTTAATTAGGATAACTAAAACAAACGTGATAATTTAATTAGGATAAGTTACATTTTTGATGTAATATAAGGTATATTTGATATTGTACAATAAAGTATACTTATTAATTTGAGATTGTCACGTTTTTTTTTTTGCAAATTTATCAGAAATTTTAAATTTCACAGATTTATACTATATGCTTTCTGTCTTGTTACAGTGTTCAATCTGTATATTCAATATGTATATTCAAATGAGAATTCCAACGTGCGAAATATGCATTATATTGTACGTTGGATTTTTGAAATTTAAAAGCTAACAAGGTGTGGTGTGAAAAGTTTTTTTTTTTTTATTTTTTGAAATTTTGGTTTTTCTTATTCAATAAATAATTTTTATATTGTCGGAATATCAACGTATTAGCGTATAAAAAGTAGTTATACGCGATACGCGTTTTTTCAGACATATACAAAAACAAAAAAAACTTTCGGTGTGAAGTTCCTTTTAGAGGAGTGCTACTTTGATTTGCATATTCGAGAATAATGTCAATTTGAGTTGACAACTTTTATCTTTTTGTGATGTTTTTATGTTTATATTATCGTGTTGTTTCGTGCGAGTTTACATAAAGAAAACTAAAAATGTTTAAGGAAAAAAACAAATCTCTTTTAACAAAAGAAAAAAATTAAAAATATTTGATAGAATAAACAGTATCGAATATGTTGAATAAATTCAATCTTACCGATTTAAATGTCTAAAATGAATAAATATTTCGTAACAGTTCGAATAATTCAATAGTGGATATTCGATAGTTCCCATCACTAACATTTATGTAGATAACATTTCATTTCGTCATCGAAATTGATAAGTGATTAAAAAATGGGAATTTACCGAAAAATAAAAGAAACATTTAATTTCATTGTCATCCCATCTTTATTTTTTTTCTATTTCTTACACTTATTTTGTCTTGAGAAGTTCAGAATTACAATTTGAAGTTTGATCGGGATTTGAGTTTGATCGGAACTACAAACTTACATTTTTATTGGTTGTTTACGATTAATTCTTGTAAGGCTACAGTTACGAAGTGGATAGTTTTTGTTTTTGATAAAGTGCAAAAAATATTAATGGCAGGTAAGGTGTTTTGATAAATTGCGTACTTATCTACATACGCATGTATTTAGTTTTACAAAACATATACTTATGAAGTACGTACATATGTATGTAGTGGTACAAAAGTGCATTTATTTAAGTTACTGTTAATAATTTTTAGGCCAAGAATATACAGGAAACCAATATCCGCAGGAATGTGAACCTATTGCAGCATCAAAATTTCATAAAGTTTTATATGAATTACCATTTAAAACCAGAGGTCCACCAAAACCATTTGACGGAAAAAATGGGATTTCCCGGAATAATGACTTTGTTCTCTTACCTTTTTCACCAGATTGTTCAATCAAAGAAAACTATGTAGATTTGTTAAATTTAAGATTTAATAATAAAATGATATGACTTTTTACATATTATTTTTAGCAAGGCGGTGGGGTATTCAAGCAGCAATTGTGGAATGTTATACATGAGTCATTATCAAAACCAATAAAGTCTAGTAGTGATTTTGAAAACGCAATAAGAAAATATAGTAATGGAATCGGAAATTTTGCATTACTTCATAATTATTTAAATAAACACACTCCAGGTTTAGAAGATTTTTTCGATGTTTTGTTAAGAATTAAAAAACTGGCCTTAGAATTGCCCAATTTAATAAAAACTGGAGTGCCATTTTTAAGAAAAGGTTCACCTGAACAAACTTTGGATTTTTCCATAAGCTTAAGTCAACAGCAAATTTCTTCATTGCTTGCGAATGCTTTTTTATGCACATTTCCTAAAAGAAATTTTTCAGATCGATATCCGGATATAAATTTCAATAGGTTCGCACTATAAAAAGTTAAAAATTAAATTTACATATTGATTTTTCTTATATTTTTAGACTTTTTGAGCTAGACACTCCTAAAGCTAAAGAAAAACTTTTATGTATATTAAATTACTTTAGACGAGTTTGTAGTCGCACACCTGATAATGTTGTTACATTTACACGTCGTTCTATTTCAAAGAGTGATTTTCCAAGATGGGACTGTAGAGAAGATGCTTTTTCAAGTATAAATATTGCTGTAAACCATAAAGGTAGTATTGAAGATAATGGGAAAAAATTTTTACGAGTTGATTTTGCCAACAAATATGTTGGAGGTGGCGTTCTTAGTCGAGGATGTCTTCAAGAAGAAATTCAATTTTTGATTCACCCCGAACTTATTATAAGCAGGCTTTTCACGGAATGTTTGCAGGATAATGAGGCTTTGATCGTATATGGTGCTGAAAGATTTAATTGTTACGAAGGGTATGGGGATTCTTTTAAATTTATCAATAAACATTTTCAAGATGATTTGGAAATTGATAGTAGTAAACGTCGTAAGTCATTTATAGTTGCAATCGATGCTATCGAGCTCTCAGATTTTGCACAACAATACGAGAAACAATCCATTATCAGAGAATTAAATAAAGCATATGTTGGTTTTTATAACAAATCCAGCAGGGTTTTGCCTGTTGCTAGTGGTAACTGGGGATGCGGTGCATTTGGTGGAGATGCTGATTTGAAAGTACTTCTTCAATTAATGGCATGTGCAGTAACGAAAAGATCATTGTTTTTTTTTACTTTTGGAAATAATCCACAAAAAAAAGGAATTGATTCTATGCACAAGTTTTTAATAGAAAGTAATATAAACGTAGGACTCCTTTTTAAGTATTTAACACAATTTAGTCAGTATTACGAAAAAAGGAACAACTTATTTGAATTCATAAAAGGACTTCATTACCAACAAGTTTTTTCTGTGAGTATTACAATAAAGTTATAATAACGTAAAAGATCATATTTCTTTTTGAAAATAGGAACCCATTTCGCTAACGCCACCAGAAGAAAAAAGAAAAAAAATTGAAAGCGCTTCAAATCAACGTAATGATGAAATGTATGCTACTGAATACAGGGATAATTACAGGGGAAATGCTCATTACACTCATCAAATAAGTAGCCAATCTCAAATTCATTTATCAGATCCTAAAATTAGGAATGGTTCTAATTTTTCACAGACTGTTGGTGCTTTTAATAACCAAACAGATTTGGAAGCTATGTCATATGCGGATAAAGTTAAGCTTTGGGCAGAGCGATATAAAAATTAAATCTAAAAAATGTTGCCAGGATGTTCGTAATTTTTCAACAATGTAAAATGTCGCCAGATTCATATTCCTATATTTTCAACATTTATGATTGTATGTGCATGCATACATAACTATATTTTTTAATTGTTTTGTTTTTTTCAGTTGGTACTGATAAAAATATCAGTACCAATTTGTGAATTTTAAGAATTGAAGAATTTTGCATAAAAAATATGTATATGGATGTGTATAATTATTATTTTAAAATAAACTTCTATAATTTTATAAGTACGGTTTATCAAAGTGCGTTGAACTTACAACATATTTTTTTTAAATAGTAGATCCGTATTTCACAATTTTAATTTGTGGAATTTGATATTTGATCCTATGCATTCAACTTTAACCCGTGGCTTCAATAATGCACTCACGACGTAAATTTTACAAAGTATCAAGTTCCAAAAAGTTTAGTAAAAGCTCTTGACATTGTACATTTTTCCTAAATGCGTTTTATACGTGGTGGAGACGTAAAATAAAAGTAAATCGAGTATCGAAAAAATCGAGCACTCTTTTCTTATACCTTGTCATATAAATAGTGCCATAAATAACTAATTAAATAAATTAAATAATTTGTTTCCTAATTATATTCTTTTCTTCTTTTTTATATGTTCTTTCAATTTGCACTTGCAATTCAAAATCATACCTAGATATTTCACTATGTTTTGGATTGATACTAACACCATTCAAATTCAAATATGGTGGTTTACCAAATTTTTGTTTGTGAAATTTACTTATATAGATTTACTTTCAATTAGCTTTATTTTTCATGTATTTGTACATTTACTAATACTGTATTTTTTTGTCGATTCTTTAACATTCTCCTACTGCCAATATTGCTGTATCATCGACAAATATAGCCATAGTAACGTAATACCCTCTAAATCTGGCAAATCTTATCGAACTTATGGGCGATGTATAGGAATATTGTGGAATATATCTGCCTTTCTTTTAACGGCGTTTCCACAATATTTCTTGTTCTGATGCATGCTTTGTTCTAAAACCAAACAGATGGTTTGGAACCAATTTCTTATTTTCTGTTATCACCTTCAACCTTGTTAACAATAAATTTTAAAAAACTTCCGATATGGTAGCGGCGAAATTTTCTTAATATCTCAGCAGTTATCAAACCTGGTTCCTTATTCGGTTTAAGTCACTTTATTGACTTATACTGATTTGCACAAAATTTGACAATGTGTTTGCAAAAAAATATGCATTTAGGGAAGCGCTGCAAACTTGAAGTGTCAAGTAGTAGGGACACTTGAATATTCGCAAAAGTTAAATTCTGTCGGCAATTTTTGTTTTGTATTTTCAAAATTTACTAAATATACCATAAAATACTGAATATATAATTAAAAAATAAATTAAGTTAAAACTTACATTTTTTCGCTATATAAATAGTGTTACCATGAGCGAATAATTTACTTGAATATTCGCCAAAATCATATTATGGTACGTGAACAATTAAATTCGCTAGGAAAAAATTTTGAACTTTAAATAAATTAAGACATTGGTTTATTTAAGGAGTTTCGAATCATTTTTATTGAAATTTAAAAAAAAAACATTTTTGAATTGTAGGAAATAACAATATTCGTTTTTATAATTTACATATATATGTATATCAAAATAATAGAAGCCATAGAGGCACTTAATAGTGCATAACCATAGTGCATATTTTGTTATATAATATATATGAATTTAGTTATATTATTTATCTCGAAATGTAAACATTGCATCAAATCCAAATAAAACGCCATTAATAATTGATAATGATGCTTTAATCATGGCTAAATCTCTTGTTCTCGTTCTAAACGCATTTTCCCAAGCTTCAATTAATAAAACACCAGAACAAATGAACAATGAACATCCGACTACACTAAAAAATACATCTATCCTTTTGTGAATTGGAGCTTTCATTAATACGCCTGCAAATAGAAAAAAATATTATGACATACTTATATTATATTATACCTACTTGTATTTTTAAAAATAATTAAAGGTTTACATATACGTACATTTTAATATTAATTTTAACACTCATTTTCTTTTAGTCGAATCACTTGAATTGATGGGTTATTATTCAAAAATATTGGGATTTCCTGAATAAAATCAATTGCAAAATTTGAAATTCTATACTGAAGTACAAAATTCTTCCAATAATATCCCATCACCCTATGTGATACGGCTAACAGAATACGGGTATTAATAATTTAAAATAAGTAAAATAATATACTCAAGCCGTTAACATAAGTGAAAGTTACAGACGATTTTCTTTATAATAAATTCGTTAATATGTATGTATTATACAAAATTAATATTTTCATTTAAATAAAAAAGTTATCAAGAATTCAAACCATATCGTTCTTTTTGCGCCACCCTCCCTATATATCATATGTATATTTGTATCTATATATTTATATAAATAAAACTTGTTTAGATAACGCTTTTCCAACCAACAATTGTTATTTCACCATAATAAATTTCTACTGTACATATCCGTACATAAGTTATATTTGTATTAAGCAGATATTGTATTATACCAGCTTTTAATATTGTAAGTCATCTTATAACAAATAAGAAATTTCTTATAATCGAAAATTATCACCGATTGTATTAACAAATTTATGAAATTTGTAAAATTTGGTAGCCCTATATGTCGCGTACAAGTCATTTAGAAGAGACAATAGTATTTCCTTAAACTTTCTAAGAAACTTGATACTTTTTTCTTTTAATACAAAAGAATCGGGTTTTTGGAAAATTTAAGAAAATTTTGTTGTCTTTCCTCAAGAACTTGTAATGTGTATATTAAAATATATTATATTAAGAAACAATTCAAATTCTCTTTCATTAAGAAAGCTGAACACCACTTGTAGAGTAAAGCTGAAGCTTTATATACAAAGAGCTCTAGTTTCATTTATCTAAAAGAAAATTTGCTAACTCTGACCCCTTGCAATGACAATACTGCCATTTTAATAATTCATCGAAAACGTTTCTTAATTTTAGGCGTTTATTAAACTCCAAATTATTTCACGATTTCTTATTTTTCTATAAAATATCCAGAAAAAATGAGACCATGAACTTCTTTTTACATTATATTGAGCATATTATGTTGTTATAAACTTATTGAAGTCGTTAATTGGCGAGTTATTAATTCCTAAAACTTAAATTACACAATTGGTTTATACAGAAAAATTAAATTTAGTATTATTAATCCTAAGATCATTAAATATTACAATATTAGCATTAAATACCTGCAAAAACACCAAGCACTATTAAAATAAATCCAGTAAATGTTCCAGTTGCTAAAAATGAAGTCATAATATCACCATCATTGTAACTATAAAAATGTAATGTTAAACAAGTTATTGAGAAAGCCTAAAAATATGCAAATGCATTGAAATAAAGAAAAAAAAATTATGTCCCGATTAATATATAATGTTTACGAAGATCGCAAAAAAAAAACACGAAAAAGGATATACTAATAGAATAAATTTTCGAACCAATTCCATAAATTTTAAAACAGATAGTCGAGATTTCCGTTCTTCTGTTGACATCATATCAATGATATAAATATAAATTCGCCAAAATTCCAGATTTGCAGTTATATTTTTCTTATTATTTCTGATACGCGAATCAATTATTAAATTCAAATTTATTTCATTATTTAAAGTGCTAAAACATTATGAAAATTAATAATTTCTTATTTTAATTATTTATTTATTTTATATTGTATTATTTATTTTTTACTTAAGAATCGGAACTATAATAATTTAAAATACGATACGGTCTGATACAAATCCGTTAATTGACTGATTTGATCATAAATAAAATTTGTTAAAGAAACAAATTTAAAAAAAAAAAATCCAAGCATAATTTCATGCATAAAATATGTATTCGTTAAATTCATGTTGTAATGTGCTTAAGTATGTAATACAAAATAAAGAAAGAAGAAAATAAAAAAATATAGACGCATTTATGTATTTGGTTTTTAGGGAGGGGAATGATATCATTAGACTTGCATCACAAACTCTTATTATATTTCTATTTTCTCGAAATTGTCTTTGATTGTCAGTAAAACCACGAAATTTGTAAAATTTTACGATGTGTCATGTTCAAAAATGTTTTTTTAAAAATTCATGGCCTTACTACATGTTATTCCCACTCCAGATCTTTGTTAGAACTGCAAATGTTAATTTAAGCTCCTGTAGCTAAAACCATGACAATTTGATAATATTACGAATAAAATTTATGAATAATGATAATAATAAAATTGATTGGGAATCTGTTTTTTTTTTAAATTAATTAATTTAATTTATACAGTTAATTTTGTAAAAAAATTCCTAATTTAATAATTTAATATAGTGCAGTTTTCACCATACATGTTTTTTGTACTGTATTTTTGAAGTCACCTGTATATTTTCAGTACATATTTGTTTACATTTTTATACTTATATACCATCGTAATGTTTGTATTAGAGGAATAGATCTCCTTTTTTAAAAGTTTTAAGTTTAGAATACCAATATAGTTGACTATTCCTAGAGAATATTAATTATACTAAAATATAAATGTATTTCAACTACAAAATGAGGATTCTGTGCTTCAAAACTAAAAACGAGTTTCAATATTTGTGAGTAAAGTTCAAGTTTACGTAGATGTTTATATGATACATGATGGATGTTGTATGTTTCTATTAAGATACTAAATGTATCTTAATAGAAACATACAACATCCAAGCATTGAACGAATCTTTAACGTTAAAATTTGGATTAATTGTTTTAGCAAGCTGCACCTACGAAAATATGGGAGCGTAAGGATAAAGATCTAAAATTAAAAAGAAAGTATATTTTGTTTAAAAGACTCGAAAAAAAAATTACTCAATAATAAATGCATGAGTATGGTGAAATTCAAGTGTAAAACTATTTCTGAAATAGTGAAAATAGAGGGAAAGTAACATTTAAAGTAATTGAAAAGATGATTTATACAGCTAAAACTATTATTTGAACCCAATTTACTCGAAAGCAGATATTATTCTGCTTCATTGTGTGTCGGTATTATTTGTAATTAATTCCCTTACCCAGTACAAAATCTTTTACATATTCAAAAAAAAATACAAATTCTAAGTATTGTAATATACTATATATAACCTCTTCCAATTAATAAAAATATATCAACTTATCTATAATATGTATAAAAGTTTTGAAGTAACACACTTGAAAATATTTTGAAATATTTTTTAATTAAGAACTTATAATTTAACATTGTATAATTTATAATTGAATATACGAATTTTTTAGAAATAGTGAGGGGCTATTCTAAAAAACGAAAAATATTTGTTTTTGAAGAAAGAAATTAGAAAAAAAATGTGCTTGATAAGTAAATTAATTTTTAAAAAATTGCTTAGACATTTAGGCTCAACTGCAATTTCTGAACTTATTTCTTTGGAGTAGATATTTTATTTGCCAGTTTTATTTTACTATAAGTGCTTAAAAATTTTAAAATTTCTGTAACGTATGTAGAAAATTAAATCTATACCATGTTTCAGGTAGAGAGAAATTAAATTTTTAACACAATTAATTTAGAGCTAAGTATCGTAAATTTTTAAATAGAAATTAAGTATAGAAATAGCTAAGTATCGTAAATTTTTAAATAGGTCTAGAAAACTTTTCTCTTAACAAATTATTTTTATTAATTGCAATTTACTCTGATTAAATTAGAAAATTTTTCAAATTCAATTATTTTTTCGAAAACTATGATCAAATATACTTTCTTTTACATATTTAAAAAAATTTTCTTATTTATTTTAATTCTGGTTTTCGGTTTTAAATTTAAGTAAAATAAGATAGTCCAAGTTAGATATTGTTAGTAGAACTTTGTCATATAATAGGATTAATTTTTATATTTTACTAAATAGAAAATTAATTTTGTTTACTTTGCGATTTTCATCTCTCATTTTTATCATATAGACTATTAAATTGGGACTAGAATATTGGCTACCCCACATAATATCTAGATTCTCCAAATGTATATTGAACAAAAGTAAAAAGCGTAATATACTTATTAATTGTGTAAAAAATTAAAAAAAAAATTTTCAGCCATTTGTTAATGCGTGCGATATTTACAGAATACAAAACATATTTAATAATAATGGAACTTATCAAAATAGGTCCATTATTAATTAATTTACATGATTTTCCTTTATTTAGAACGTGTGTTTAGTATGTATATATGTATGCATAAATACTTATTATAAAACAGAAAGTAATATATTAAGTTAGGTCGTGAAAATTTTATAAAATATGTAGATTTTGATGTCTTCTTTATGTATGTATGTATATGTATGTGTTGATGAAATTTTAAATTAAAAAAAAAAATTTTTTTTCATTTTGGCGCTCAAAGTGTATCATATGTATGTATGTTCTGTATGAAATTTTATCTCACAAAACTATTAAATCTATTGAAAGAATGAAATATTCTGTAACTAGTTCATACTACATTTACACAATGTTTATTGTGAATATGTTTAGAAATTACAATAGCTAAGTTTAATGTTCGATTAGCAAATAAATGTATTTATAATGTATAAAATAGGCTAAAACACCTATTCATTTAATTTGAGTTTAAATAATTATTGTAAATTATTGTATTACTATTTGCTTCTACATACTCGTATATTGTGTTTTTGATAAGTCTCTATATATATATTTATAATATTAATTATTAATTCTTAATACACATAAATTCTCTATGCACTTAGCACTTAAATCATCTCTATGAACATTGATCAATTGGGTAGTACCATTCACTATTTAAATTCTGCAATTATATGACATTACTTATTTACTATTTTCTCTGATTCTCTGTTTTCTCAATAAATCTCATGTAAATATTAAATTAGAGTAAGTTTTGATATTCGTACGCATTTTCAAAATTTCATTTTTTTAATATAATTTTTTTTTTTATTTAATTAAAATTTGTGATTTTATTTATCTACATTAATTGTCATAATTTTTTTGCATGTTTTTGTTTTCTTCTCTTTCATTTTCCCTTTATGAAGTTTATTTTTTAGCCTGTAAATAACTTCGTTACAAATGAATATACAAATAAATAATTCTAGAAATTCATAGACTACACATGATCACTGACATCCAAGATACTGTTTAAAAACTGTATTGTACCACAGAATTTAAAACGCAAGAAAATGAATAATTTTGTATTCATATTAAATAAGTAAAAAAAAATGGTGGTAATTAATTTTTTTTTGTAGACTAAATTTTTGAAAAACCAGACAATATTTTGACATAATAATAAAATTATTATTTTGTTATATCAAAAAAGAGTGGTCAGTTGTACTTATTACCTGAAAAATATCACATGATTTAAGTTTAGAGCTTATATTTTTACCTTTCTTTAAGCCTAAGTAATGAAAACGTTCTATTGAAACAGACAGATCTATTACACGATATTATGTATTTTGCATAAATTTAGGAGAAATATTTTTGTAATAAAAGTGGATTTCCTTGTTCGTATAAAAGTATTACGATATTCAATTTTGACAAAAACCAAAATATTAATATTTTTACTTTGTTTGTGTTTTAAAGAAAAAAAAAACAAAATATTTTTAATTTTATTGCAATTATTTGCATTTTGGATGTCAGGGTATTGTTTTTTATTCATTAAAAATTTATTATTAAAAAACAAAAACACTTAATAATCTCTAAATTGTTTCATTTTAAGCCTCTAATCATTTCAAATTTTAACAATTTAATTGAATAATATTTCATTTCTTTACATAGGAGACCTGAAAAATCTATGTGTGATGGTATAAAAATTAAAGTTTCTTTGTAAATGGTGGGATTCAATTATGTTATTTTTGCTCTTCTTTTTTGTTTATTATTATTTTCTATACATTCCCATATACGCATTGTTATTTCATAATTATTGTATAATTAATTAATTCTGTTAAATTAATTGCGAACAGAAAATTTTTAAATTGAATTCATTCATCCCATTTATAAGTGAACCCTGATTATATGGTATGTTATATACATTATGGTGATTGATTAAAATTTTTACAATTTTATGGGAATCAGGTCATTTTCTTATACTATGTTTGGTTATTATAAAATTTTTCTTTTATTAAAATCAAAAATATAAGTATATAAATATGAATTTAAGTCAAGTTCGTTAATTTACTTACATATGTGTACCTTATATTGCGTATACTTATCTAGATTTATTATAAAAGAAAATGAAAATTCGTTTTAGTTTTATCGCAGAAATTATATAAGTTTTCTTAATTGGAAGGGGGTCGCCTAAGTAGAAAAAATTTTTCTTTTGATTTTCCTTCTTTTTGTTTTTCTTCTTTTTTTTCCTTCTTATTGTTCTTACATTATATATCTACTTAGATGAATGTACACATATCTCAATTATATTTTCACCGTAGGCGATTTATATAATAACATATATACATATAAGTCTGAAGAATTTTTGAATATATTAAATCAGAATTAATTGGAAAGGAAAATAATAACAGAAATAAGAAAAATTCAAGGGAAACTTTATTGTATCTATATAATAGTATAATATATAGTTGGCACGAGTGCTTTTAATTAAATTTTAAGATGGTTGTAGGGCATTTTAAAGTACCATCATTGATTTTGAGAAGCAAAAAAAAACAAAAAAAAAATGTTAATAACACAAAGTCAAAAACAGAATATAAATTGCATTCTCTATTTTATTTCTTAATCATTGAATATTGAATTGAATTAAATGTGCACTAAACATTGGAGAATTTTTTTTAAGAATTAAA